AAGTTCCACTGTTTATTTTACTCACCGTCATCTCTAGGCCATGGCATTTTATCAGTCCAGTACGCCATCTGGTACGAGTTGGCAACAAGAGCATACTTGGCAGACATGAGCAGCCTAACGGTTTGGTAGAGCTTCTCATCCGTATGCTCTGAATTCTTCATATCGACATATTCCGGATGCTGCTTGGCCAAGAGGTCACACAGGCGATTGTGCTCTCGGAGCAGGAGGGTATGGACAGCTAACACCAGCCAGTCTTCGTTTGTCCGTGGATCACCTCCCGTAAATAACGTTGTAGGATCCAGTCCGGGTGTTGTCCTCATTGAAACATTCCAAGAATTGAACGGGAGATACGATGTAGCCAGCGACATATTGCCGGCCTTCACTTCTTGCGTCAACAGCTTTCCATCCTTGTATGACCGTACTGCTCGGGCCACATCTGAGGTAGAACCGTAAAGACTCGAAATGTCCAGCCATGTAGTCGCCATGTTCACATTTTCTCGAGGATTTGTCATGGAGGTACCAGTCCCAGGGACGGCTTTTGTACGATGCACCACAAATTTTGTGTTTTTATCAAATGTGTCTTCATCAGGAGGCATTTCAACCTCAATAGTTTCTTCCGGCGAGTCCATGCTATACGTGACGTCATGCATGACAAACTCAATCAGCCCGATGAGAAGTGGCGTATGTTCATAATAAATAGTCCTATTTCTCTTAAAGAACGCATTGGAGACGGCTCGAGCATTGGGACCTTCGCGCAGCTTGGAGATTCCGTCAGCGTAATGGTGGTCACCGTAATCCCTAGCCTTTGCCATTCCGATCCGGCCTTCATTGATCTCATCCTTTTTCATCCAATTGCAAGATCCGTCGGTGGTTCTGTACCACCAGTTGGATTTATCGACGATACACATGGAATCAAGGGCATACTTCAGGTTTCCAAAAAGCTTCTCAGCTTCGTCAGATGGCAGGTTAGCTATGAGCGGTGGAACCAAATGTGAAATATTGCCCCTGAAGTTACCAGGCTCAGGCCGTTTAAGATGGTCAAATACTTCGTCTAGACTGGTCGCATCCCTGGGAATGGTGTTATTAATGAACATGCGACGTACTTCTCCGCTATCCTGTGTTTCAGAGACATCATGAAGCCAGTGGATGAAACGGTGTTGGCTCCCTTTGGACTGAATAGCACGAGAAAAGTCGGGCACGAATTCACCGGAGCGGGATTTCTTCCCATAATATCGATGATAAGGCCACTGGTCGCATAGCGATGTTTGCAGGAGCACCCAAATCAAAATGAGACAACGAAACCGCATATTGAAAGAAGGCCTTCGGCTTCTCTGTGCTCATAAACACCACGTTACCTATCCAACAACTTGGTTAAATCAGGGATTGCGAAATGCGCTGAGGTGCTATGACCGGAGCCTAGGTACGGGTTATATATTCTCGTTGCAGAGTGCGTTCAGCTAAAGATTCCTAGATTAAGTGAGATCAATTGCATGCCGATTTCGTTCCGTCATCATGGAAAAGAGGCAGCGAGCCTTGAGGCAAGCTGTAGCAATGCCTTCTACAGAAGACGGAGGCACACGGCCGTGCATGGTATTAGGGTTTCAACATGACACAATAATGACCAACAACGTTTGCAAAGTCAGATATCGAGAAGAAATGGCAGATAAAAAATTATCTATATTCTTCTAACTTCAGTGGTACGTTTAACTGTCATATCCTCTACCTTCACAGTTAAACGAGCATAGACATAATGAGTTTTGCTTTTGCTGTGAAGTTTGACTTGAAGTTGACCGCAATTAACAGAACAGGAAATATTGATGGCCTGAGTCAGCAAGCAACATTCCAGCTCCTCGCTCAAGTAGTTATACAGAGGGGGATATGCTGGATATACTCCACCTACATGAGCTACCTTGTCATCTCGTAGTTAATTGATTGTATTTGGTCCCCCTCCTTATTCACCCCACAACCTATACGGTTGAACTAGATGTCCATTTCTGCAACAGGCTAGCTGTGCATCATTCGAGATCTCGCGGTCTCCCAGAGCTCTCATCATCCCCCGATGGGCTTCCTCTATGTGCTGTTTCCCCAACGTCTTGAAAACGTGCTGCCGTGTTACGTTTGCCCAATGATCCAGCCACGACAACACAGTCAATTAAGTCTACACACATTGTGGCAGGCAAAGAGCGTTGAAACGCTCTAGCACTGTGTCTATAACCTGGGGGTAGCTATTTAGTGGCAGCCACATGACTCACATGGAAACAAATTGACAGAGAATAAATTGGATAGCGGCATAATTGAGATACACAATTTGCTTTTCTTGAGATGAGCAAGGGATATGGCAAGACTGGTGCACCCACTGCACAAGCGTGCGACACCCAAAGAGAGACAAAATATACTGGTAACAGGAGAGAGCCGTTTTGGCTTGGGTTTGAGCGGCAGCCACGGATGGAGATACTGATAGGGCAGAGTTGAGAGATGGTGATTGTGTCTACAACGCACGTTGCGAAGACCCATTCGATGGTGAACCGCAATGTAGGAGACAAACGAGTCGTCACAGGCGTCCTATAAGTTGACGGAGCAAAAGCGCAAAGATCCTTAATGGGATGAAGCAATCCAGAAACATCGGGGCCGGAATTGATGTTATTGGCTCAGGTGGCACGACAGAGCGGTTGACGCGCAGGACGGTGACAGGTCGGGTATTGGAGTATGTTCCGTAACGACACTCAGCACCTGTTACGAACAACAGTACCATATCGCTATGCTGATTATCCAGAAATAGAGACGACATATGACTAGATTGCCGCAGGGCACTAACAGTATGATTTTATCTCCTTATCAAGGTTTATATAACAAGTTATTACTTAAGTGGGGGCCGTCATGATGGCGAAATATGTTGCAGGTTGAACCTAACCTGTGAAAACATCGTGACAAAATTGACAATGACATGAGGGATGGGGTATGGGGGAGATTTGGAATAGCAGCAGAGAAAAAAAAGAAAACGTCAAAAATCGTCATACCGATTGTGAGAGGACTTCTGTGCTCACGGGAACCAGCAGCAACAACACCATCCACGTCTCATTTGGATCGAAATCGATTGGCCAGCATTATGCCCATATTTCGAGGAATATAACCACAGCCCCCATTCAAAGTATACAATCTGGAGTACACGGGTAGCTAACTGCCTGGAATTAGGCGGTTGAACAGAAGAAAAGATTTTGAAAAGAATTCAAGCCGCGAGTTAACGAATGACGAAGCGAATGAATATGAATGTTCGGGATTGGAAATGGAAACCTCGTTTGTTGAAGCTTGGTGTTCACCAAAAGTGTGGAGATGATCGCTGCAGATTAATCAGCCCATTTGAAATGCTTCCATGCAACTCCAGTGACATTGCAGATCCTTCTCATTGGCCCATGAAGAACAAACGTCACAAACCCTGGCCCAGGATATTTTGAGGGAGAATTACAGAATACGAGGCGAGCATGGTGGAGAACATGAATAATAATGCAAAGTATCCCGGCGTCAAACGGGGCCCATCACCATATATGAACAATTCGGAGAGATTTGCTCTGAATCATGAGTTGGTCAACATTCATCCTTCAATAACTAACTATTCTCTCAGCCAACGCTCAGCAAACTAAGCTCGTTATTCAGATATAGATTGCTTTTTTTTTTTTTTTTTTTTTTTTTTTTTTTTTTTTAAAAAAAAAAAAGGCAAGCGATGTCAATCCCGGCATGAGGCTAATTACACAGCGTTAAGATTGCTACAACCTTATTAACCCCCCTCTCCCTCCCGCCTCTCAAGCCTCAACCGGCCCAATAAATAATGAGCTCGGTACAGAGTAGCTATTTATGTGCCACCTCTGTCAAGAGGTTGTGCTCTCGACCCCAGCACGGGGTCAAAAGCCCTTCAAAAAGGTCATGCACACTAATGGCCTTGTCCCAGGGAGCTATCTGATATCTCCAACTAACCGGCTGTCCAACTGTTTACGGAAATCCGGAAAAGTCACGGGGACCTGGATGCTTTGAAAGAACCTTTTTATATCTCACGATTATTATATTTGGAAGCCACAGCCAAAATCTCTCGCTGGTTACCGTGGATCATCAACTCGTCGAAAAGGGGAGCAGCTGGAATTTGAATTTTTAAATATAGAAACGGGATTTTAAATCAGATTCCCGGACAATAACTAACTCAATCTTAGTGACTTCTCAAAATGGGCAAGACACAATATAAACTTGACTGTCCAACGGCACGCACCTACATGCATGGTAATAGCGTAGTAGTTGTATCTCAAATCTGGCAAACACTGCCAATAATACATATCTATTATATTCCACAGGCGACTTTCTGAAACTGCTCTGCTGTGAACCAACCAGTTACTTAATTCAACGGGTCTTGAATCTACGCCTCCTTGTTTCTTCTAAGAGTGGCGGTGTTCAACCCCACACATTCTCTTCAACATCTCCGAAACACTCGCGACACCGCCATTCGTCTTCCTCCGCTCTCATCACCTCACCTCACCTATTATTATTATTCTCCTCTCTGCGGTTAATCAGTAATTTTGGTTCGTAATGTCCCAATATGGGGCTTAATTCATTCCACTGAGTGAAGGTCGTCATTTTCTGTCGAATCTATTCCTCCTCTTCTTTCGCTTATCGCTATCCGGCACTTCCACCCGCCGCTCTTTCGCTTCACCATCCAGTCGTATTGCCCGCATTCTACATTGTCTGACGCTGCTGAATATGTGTTTTGGCGTTGTGGTTCTCCAGCACATCCGTGGGTCTGTCAACTTCTGCTCGTCTAGTATCCTTATCTCACATTCAATAGCCATAATTACTTATCGATAAACCGCTACCTTTTGGATATGTAGATAAATACCAATCCACATCTTGTCCGATGAGTGCGTACAAAGAAAGGAATAGCCGAAAGGAGATATCATTCACCAATTTCATATACTCTCATACTCCCTTGCGGAAATGATGATATCCGCGTTGCTGTCGATATGCGTTCTCCTCGCCGCAACGGCGCAAGCGCAGATAGCCCGCCCTTCAAACGACTCTACCGACCTTTATCTCCCAATGCTTTATACGAATTTCAAATTAATGACGAGACAGTTTCCGCTGCCAAAGGCCAATCTAGCACCACTGACTGGAAGCCTGAGAAGGATATTCCGGGATGGCGTCGATTCGGTATGGGAATTACCTATTACCCCCCTTCATATCTTCATATACATATAAAATTACAGACATATGAAAATGCTATCTGTTGTGGACATTGGATATTAAATATTTCGAGCATTCACTAACGCGTATGTCAATGTATCTTACCGCAGGAATTTAACATCACTGGGACCCTAGTTCCCATAGGCGCCAACAACGCCTCCGATGTCAGGGGGAATAATATTGCCTATATCAGCTGCGACGACTCGGCTTACCCGGGGAATCTTAAAGCGGATGACACAATCCGGACAGTTGTGCTCACAGACTCCCGTCCGAAAGCAATCGTTCTTTACAGCACAAAGTTTGAGCACTGCAACTACTCCTCCACAGGCCTAACCTGGCCTCCGTACAGGAATGTTTTCACCGTCACCGATGTCCAAGTCTCCCGCGACATACTAGCTGGTCTGTTCTCCGAGTCTCAGTCCAATGAAGAGATGTCAGATATAGTTCCAGACCTGGAGGAAGATTTGCCAAGACCTGGGAATGATCATGGTCGGAGAAACAATGGTACATCCCTTTATCCCTTTTTCCCCTTTTTCCCTTCGGAAGGAAGGAAAAGAATCGTGATCGAAGCTAATTTAGCAGCGCCAGCAGCCATGATCATTCTATATAGTATCACGGGCATCATCACTGCTCTATTCCTTAGCGTCATCGTCACCGGCGCCATACGAGCACATCTCAATCCGGAGCGCTATGGGCCTCGCAACATTGTTGGTCGCCCACGCCAGAGTCGCGCCAAGGGGATTGCACGTGCAATGCTGGAAACAATACCCATTATCAAGTTTGACGACTCTAGCGATGGGACTAAACAAACCGTGAAGTCCGATATCGAGATGGTGTCGAACGATGGAGGTGGCGAGCATGATCTGAGTAGAAATGGTACGGGGCAAGGAGTCGATGGAGTGAAAATCCCCGGTTCTCAGACGGAACCACAAGAGGAGCAGCAGCAGCAGCAACAACAACAACAACAAGCACAGCAGCAACAGAAACAACAAGAATCGTTGCAGGAGCAGGAAGATAAACCAACCGCGTCGCCTAGGGCTAAGGCAACAGACAGGGAATCACACTGTGACGGCTCCATCGGCCCGGCATCACCAGAACCCCAAGTTATCAATCCCGACGTACCACCTGAAACGGGCACGTTGGGATGCCCGATCTGTACAGATGACTTCATAAAGGGCCAAGACGTGCGACTTCTACCCTGCCAGCACAAATTTCACCCCGAATGCGTTGACCCCTGGTTAATAAATGTCTCCGGCACTTGTCCTCTCTGGTAAATCACTAAACAGACCCCTCATTTCCCAATTACCCTCACATCATACACAAATCCCGAAAGAAACATTACCCAAGCTAACAACCAGAATAGCCGCGTAAACCTCAACCCCCCAGACTCCGACAACGCTGATGGATCCGACCACGATCATAACTCAGAAGACCCCACCCGATCCCCCTCCCCTCCCCAAAACTCCCACACCAATCGCTTCCTCCCTCCCCTCCGCAACCCCCGCGGCTTCTCCCGCCGTTACCACGGCCTATCCACGCTCTTCAGCCCCTCCTCCACCAGCGGCATGGGCACTCATGCCAATGTCGAAGATCATATTTATACGCTGCGCGGGCTGCGCCGTTCGCGCCACGAGCGCGATGCGAATATGACGGCAAGAGGTGCAATTGAAGGGCAGGACGAGGAGGGGGAGGCATCACTATCTTCTCCCGGAGCAGGTGCGGCGGAGGATAGGTCCAGGAGGAGTCGGCTATGGCGGTTGAGGGGGAGGTTTTTGTCCCGGTCGCGGTCCCGGACGAGCGTGAGTTCGTATGCGGAGGCGGACGCGGACGCGGAGGCGGACGTTATGCGGCAAGCAACGACTGCCACAGTGTTGAATTCTCCCGGTATCGATACTGGTGCTGGTGCCGCGAATCCGTCTGGTGATGCTCAGGTTGCAGATCCGACACCACAAGTTACAACAGCGACGACAACGACGGCGACGACGACGACGACGAATACAGCGCCAACTTAAATGGGTAGTTTTATGATGCGTGCACTGAAATTGTGTCGTTTCCTTTTTCTACTAACCTGCTATTTCATTAAAAGTGCACGCACATGCATGTGCAACGATCCTGTCAGCTGTGTTTTACGGATTTATCTACTATCTATCTACCGGTGCATCTACATATGTAACAACTACAGCCCCATTTATTGCGGAGAATTTATCTATCATAGGTCTTGGTCTATCCCAATATTGATGTCCATATCTATATCAATTGGGTTCATCTTGAGGAGAGTTTTGGTGTTGAGCTTGGACAGGCGTGATATGTTTTATTATTTTGAGCTGTTGTTCATTTAAAGCATTTCCCTCTGGTTCTCATTTTTTTTCTGCCCTGATTCTTTATTCCCTTAGATCGGTGCTTGATGATACGATACATTCCGGATTTTTTTTCTTTCCTGCGATACCAGACGGTAACAGTGTCATCATCATTGAAAATATATATATGTACATATATATTTTGTAACGTTACATCAGCCCCTTTCATCAACCCAATTACCAATGTATAAATATATATATAGATTAATGAGTCCATGTGTCTGTCCTCTTGGCCCATTTTGCACGCAAATATTTTATGCATAATGACACATTTTTGGTTCCCTTCTCTTCCCATGAAATCCTTATATAAATTCGCCCTATATATGTTGTACGTATACCTATCCACTATTTCAGAAAATTCTCCAGAAGACTTGTTGCTCCTCTTTCTCCATTTGCCTTTACTGCTGTACCGGCTGACTCCACTGGGACACAGGATCCGTAGTACGCATAACTGCTCTCCCTTCAAGTTCTGCATCCCAAAAGCTGGAATCATTCCGTGGAAATTTTCTTTGGTTTTTGTTTTTGTTTATGTTTTTCCTTAAACTGAGTTTGGATTCTTTTCCAGTCCCTGTCCTTGAAGAGGTTAACTCACTCCACTTTATGTTGCAGGCCTCCTTTGGCTTGTCCCAAGCGCTGGCGGTATACCCCCCCACTTAGACCGAAAATCTTCTTTTCATGAGAGTTGAAGCATGATACCAGTTCCTCAGTGAATATATCACGACTGGGTATTGAAATTTTCGAGGGCACCGGAATGACATATTGTATGGGTTTATGTGTTCCCGATGTCACTGACATGGTGTTCTGAACACAGCAATCAGTTTTGTCCCTGAGAGAATTTGTCTCTGCGATCAATTGAGATAACTATCTGCATTGTTTGTTTAAATGACGTCTACTCAAGACCCACTCCAAACGATGAGGCATGTGATGATGGTATGAGTCTGTCATCTCTCGGATAAAAATAGGACCAAAATTCCCTGAGCACGACGGAGTACAAGAAGGAAAGATACAAAGAAGTTCAATATTCTCGTCATCTTCCTTCACTTCTCATGCCCCGGCACACGGAGTACAAGCACATGTAGAGAAGACAAATGTTCCTATCTCATCCCCTATTGGTTGGTTGTATATGACGATAACTACCACAAATAAGTACACACCCATACAGAATTAGCGGCAGAGATACCTCGGCTTGGTGCCCCTGACGGCTCTCCATCAACCAATTTACTGATATTAAGCCCGGGGAAAGCAACAGCTGGAAATAAATTGTTCCTTCATTCATTCATTTCTAGTTTCCGTTTATCAAAAAATATTAATAAATAAATAAATAAATAATAAAAGTCGTCAACTCTACTTCAACTGTGGCATCTGTATAACTATTTTGATTTCCCTGTATAAAGAATCCCTGCAGCATTTTGTTCCCCTTCTACTTTTAACTACCCGAACCATGGCTCACCCACTTGATTCCCCGCGCTTTTCTTCTTCCTCCTTATCACCCTTGCAACTTCAACTCTCGTCGTCGAACTCGTCCTCATCCTCGCCGTCAACAGCCCGATCGCGCCTCTCCAACATATCGCAGCACATCATGACGTCCTCCCCGTCGATATTCACGGCCTCGTCCGTGCCCCAGGCCCCAGAGGACCCCCTTTTTGGCTTGAAGCGCGCCTACCAACAGGACAATGCCGATACAAAAATTGACCTGGGCATTGGCGCCTACCGAGATAACAATGCGAAACCATGGGTTTTACCTGTTGTGAAGAAGGTCAGTAGCTTTACTTTGAATTCTTTGATGATTGGGAGCTTGGGGGGCGGTTGGGCGGTTGGGGTTGTCGAGGGGAGGATTGCTGTAGACTGTGACCATTTGTATTGCTATCAGACTCTGCTCCATTTTCAAAATGCTAAAAATACGAAATAGGCCGACGAGATCCTCCGCAAAGACCCAGATCTCAACCACGAATATCTCCCCATTGCCGGTCTGGCTGAATTCACCAGTGCTGCCCAGAAACTCATTCTGGGTGCGGATTCCCCCGCCATTCGGGAGAAGAGGGTACTTCTGCTTTTCCCGACTCCTGACACGAAAATAGTGATACTGTTATAACCGTCTGACAAATGAATCCCAGGCCGTAACCTTCCAAACTATTTCTGGCACCGGTGCCGTCCATCTAGGCGGTCTCTTCCTGTCCAAATTCCACCCTTCCCAACCCCCACCAGCAATCTACTTCTCCTCCCCATCCTGGGCCAACCACCAGCAAATCTTCTCAAACGTCCGTCTCCGCACGGCATCCTACCCCTACTACTCCCCCGCAACCAAAGGCCTAGATATAGATGGCATGCTCAACGCCCTCCGTTCCGCTCCCCATGGCTCCATAATCCTCCTGCACGCCTGCGCTCACAACCCCACCGGCGTCGATCCAACGAGAGCACAATGGAAACAAATCGCCGCCGTCATGCGCGAGGCAAACCACTTCCCCTTCTTTGACACTGCGTACCAGGGCTTCGCATCCGGCGACCTAAACCATGACTCCTGGGCCATCCGCCACTTCGTCGAGCAAGGGTTCGAGTTATGCATTGCGCAATCCTTCGCAAAGAACTTCGGACTCTACGGTGAGCGTGCGGGGGCGTTCCATTTCGTCACCGCGCCCGGCTCGCAGGCTGTCGAGAGCGCTGCCCACATCGCATCGCAGCTGGCTATATTACAGCGGTCCGAGATTTCGAACCCACCCGCGTACGGGGCGCGGATTGCGTCGTTGGTTCTTAATGACCCTGTGTTGTTTAAGGAATGGGAGGATAATTTGCGGGAGATGAGTGGGCGGATTGTTGAGATGAGGAAAGGGCTGAGAGAGCGGCTGGAGAAGAAGGGGACGCCGGGGAGTTGGGATCATATTACCGCTCAAATTGGGATGTTTAGCTTTACAGGGCTGAGTGAAGCGCAGGTTGCGAGGCTGAGAGAGAAGTGGCATGTTTATATGGTGAGTTTTTTTCTCTTTGCTCCTTCTCCCCCCCCCCCCCCCCCCCCCTTTATCTCTTCAATGACTGTTGGTAGTTCTTCTATTTTCTGATTCTTTACTTGCTAATTGAGGTTTAAACCCGCAGACCAAGAACGGCCGTATTTCCATGGCTGGCCTGAACACCCATAACATCGACTACTTTGCAGAGGCGGTGGATAGCGTTGTGCGGGAGATTGCGTAGACTGCGTGTTGAAATTCGGGTCTTTACTTTTAAAAGGGGGCTAGGATGAACCTGGTTCATGTCTTTGAATATTCTTGATGCCTCTGATGGTTATAATTTGGTTTGAAATAGACACGGAGGGTGGATAGGGAAAGGAACCTTGGGAAGGATTTTAACAAAAGGTTTTCTATTCAATTAGGTATCAGTTGGTTCTAGTAATAACGAAAATCTCCACTAGCAGAGTTCTTAATTAATGCACCATGCGTAGGGAAAACTTGGGGAGTTGTCATATGGGTACCTATCACAGCCCCTCATTACAAGGCAGCTCTCAGGATAAAATGGGTGTTCGGGATTTTGCACGGAAACCCATTTTGGCATTGCTGGAAAGAACAGTCCATTGACAGTAAGATTAATCTTAGGTCTTTGCGCAGCGTTTCACTGCCAAATTGGAGGCTTAAACAATTGTACTGTACATGCATACATTCCACTGTCAATTTGACGTACCTCACACTCTTAACAGGAGAGCCAGGCCACTAGGAAGAGCCCGTATAAAAAGCTCAATGCATCGTGTGCTTCAGATTTAAATTCTTGAGCATCTAAGATCAGTCAGAAACGCAATAACTACAGCTGCACGCAGCTGAACAGTTACTTTCCCTTTCTCTCCTCCTCCTCCTCCTATACTTCAGCAATTGTCATTGTGCCCGGACAACGCAGAGCCATCCTTCTCGATACCGGGATTGCAGCGTGATCATAAATGTTAGCTGTCAAACGTTGGAGACAGGTTTGTCGGAATATCCATTTGTGGCACCCTAATGACCATTCCTTGCATAACAGAAGTCGCTCTGGCTCGTGCGGATGGATAGCAGAGCAGGCCCTTTGACTGGCGATGACAGAGAGTGTATGAGTGACAGAAACTTCCCCCTTAAAAAGTTGAATCTTCACCCAGCTCGCAACTCTTTGAATCGACAATCTCTTCCTCCATATACACTGAACTTCTTTAATTCTGGAACCATCCAGGGATTGGTATTATAGTCCTTGTGATAGCCCTTTCGTTAGTGCAAGGTCATTCTCAGAATTCAGTGTCAAAAGATGATGAATGAATTCGAGACAATCCACAGGGGCGCTCGACCCCGTTTCGGTTTTTGGTTCCGAGTCTGGTTTCATGAGACCAACGACTACTCCGTAATTGGATGGCTTTCCCAACAGTTGACGCAGCATCAGTTGCCTCAGAAGATGCTGACTTGATCTGGGGATTATAGTCCGTTTTTTTAGACAGTGATCGAGACCCAAAGAACTGTGTTAGCTATTGTACATTAGCGTATGTTAATTGAAATACCGACTTAATTATTGACTCATAGTAACACCAACAAGTTGCCGATCTTAGTGGAGGCTCTCCCTGATGGACTTCTGTGAGTTCATTCTATCTCTTCAAAGGGGAAGGTGGTGGATCGGATGAGGCATCAACAAATGAAGAATGGTGCGAATAAACCGTAGATTATCTGCTGGAGATGAGAGGAGTGTCTAGCGATGTGTATGGATGAACGGAGTACAGGGCTTGCTTTTGTCCCTGGAACGGCAACCAGGTACAAGGGGTTGCAACCATTTATGCATGAGCCTGCAGAAAAATGCCCTGGTTCATGCAGCTGAATTCCACGCCAATTGTGATTAATTGCTTTTTTGGAAGATCGTCGCAGTGTCTGTGCGAAAATTGAGCCGGGGTGCCAAAAATTTCAAGACAAGGATTGTAAAAGACTGCACAACACAAACAAATACATATTTCCCCAAAGCAGCATCTTTGTGAAACGGATAAAAAACATGTAGGGATCGCTCCTGGACAGAATTAGGAAATCATGCGCATAATACCGAGTATATACATCAACATACGGAATGGAGATAGGAAAATGCTGTCCGCCCCCTCAAGAAGTTATACTGGTCTACTATTCTTCGAACCCTCACCCCCATTGTCTTTTCCATTAGAAAGCAACGAAATGCTCATTTCTATTCCCTTCTCCTTCTCCTTGCCCCCCATCGTATTCACAGTGGCACCCTTCGTACCCCTCCCCAACTCCACCTCCTCCTTAAACATCTTCTCCCGCATCCGATTTACAATCCTCGCGCACAGAGGATCAACCCACCCCATCCAGAAATGCGCCACGGCATACAACGTAACATAAAACACCGGAATTGCGATGACGAAAGTCCCCGTTCCAGCCCTACGTAGCTCGACGGGCTTCCCATCCCCTTTAACCTTGCCCCAATCTTCCGACCACGCCGACGCACCATATACCATCCAACACAGCAATGTCCTGATGAGTGTGTTGTGCAACAAGTAGACGGGGAACGAACATCGTCCAAAGAAATTGAAGACCGGGTGCGTGAGGACCCGCCGCGCGTTGCGAGAGAAGAAGATGCCCGCCATGAGCGTCGTGCAGCCCAGGTTTACCCAGTACCGGCCTGAAAAGTTTGTGGTGTTCCCTGGGGTTATATGGAGCATGATGCGCCGCATGGCATCGGACCAGGCCATCCAGTCATGGTTGTCTTGGGGGAATGAGCTGATTAAGAGGCCTATGAGAATCATGATGGCGGGAACGGCCTTGGGGAGCATGCTGGTTGCGCGCGAGCCATAATAGACTTGTAGTTGGGCGATGAGCATGCCGGAAAATATGTTTATACCAACAATATCTGATGATTTATTAGTAGTCATGTTTTCATCTCATCTTTTCATTTTATTGGAAGGGGAAAGAAGGAACGGGGGGTTCGGTTGGGAGATTTCTTCTCATGCAGAGCGGAGAACTTACAATCGCCCGAACACCAGGAAAATAAATACAAAGCTATAACAATAGCCACCCTCCACTTTGTCTTGACCAACGTCGTCGCCAGCAAAGTCAGATAAATTCGGAACGACCCAGTTAGGAAAAACACAATAGTCCAATGGACAGGGTCATATGTGCCCGAGCCATTATTCCAAAAAAGTGTCAAATTCTGCACCAGATTCTTAATGGCTTCCCAAAAAGTTGGACCAGGCGTCTTGGACACCATTCGTATCCAGGGTGAATCGGCCCTGGTGGCCATATTGAATCCACCCAGCTGACAAACCGTCCATGCTACCGTGGCGGCGATGTTTGTCGGGAAGAAAAGCCTCCCGGAACGGGTGAAGGTAGCTTTGGCAAGGTTGGTCAGGGCAACTTCCGTGTTGCCAGACTGTGCGTTTTTTATCGGGTTAATAGAGTTGACGAAGCCGGTGACGAGGAAAAATATGCAGACAGCTGCACGACCGCCGACGCACAGGCGGAGAATGGGCAGTTGAAAGAACAGGGGCCAGCCTTCTTTTGAGGATGAAGGAGAATGTAGATAGGTAGCGAAGGCCGTACAGATGTGACCTGTTACCACGATAAAGGAGGCAATTCCACGGAGGCCCTGAGGGGGTTTGAGTTGTCAGTAATCGAGTTAATTAAGTGCGGAAGTCGGCAGTTTTTTTTTTTTTTTTTTTTTTTTTTTTTTTTTTTTAGAAACAGGTCCGGGGGGAATCAAATCTTACATCGATCCAGTTATCGTCACGCCGTTTGGGAGGGGCCATGCCTGACGCTTTGGATGGGATTTTTAATAAACTCAGGGGATAAAAGATATAACTAGACAAGGCAAATAAAAATTATAAATATGGGTATGAAAAGAAGTACGTAAGTGGTACGGGGCCCTATCTCATTATTCGGAAATGTACGCTCAAATGACAACATGGATATGTATGGGGTATAAATGAATGGCAGGGAGAAGGGAGTAGCTTTTCAGGACATTCCCTGTGAATGAAGGAGTTTTTCAAAAACGAGGGTCAACCCTCACAAAACCGAGGCCCCACAGTCTCAAGGATGGGGAGGCAAGAAAAGGGAGTGCAAGATAATATTGTAGACAGGGCCGTGTGAAGAAACGAGAGAAAATTGCCGTTGTTTTTGAAGATATTAACTATCTCACAGCGAGAAAAGCTGTGTCTTGGAAATTTAACTGTATGCTCCCGCAAGAGAAGAGAAACGGAGGAAGAAAAGCACGAAAAGACAACCAATAAAGCCGCCATGATAGAATTTTTACCTGAACCGTTTAGCCTCTCTCAGAGGCAATAGGATCAAGCCATGGGGAGAAAAGATGGAGTAGTTTTGCCTTGGGTCAAAGCACTTCTAGCCAGTCAGGGATCAAGGTTTTGTGCCATTTTTGCCTGCCAAGACGTCCTTGATAAACGCCAGTTTTAATACGCCGGAGCCGGAGGCGCAGAGATGGACCAAGGGGCCAGCGCTAGCAGCCCGCGTTGCGCCATGACGGATGATAGAACACGCTCCGAAAAAAGAGGCAGCCAGTTGCACCGACGACAAGGCTGGTCGTGGAGAACGAACAAGGCCTTGTACCTGTCTCGGGAGTCAGATTGATAGGGTGACTATGTATTAGGAGAAGGGAGTTGGATGATAAGTTCTTCAATCATCGAAAGCACATCCGGTGTCGCAGGCGGAGGTGGAGTGGAGCATGGCGCACACGGTTGGACAGAGTGGTTGTGTGGTGAGTACGTAGGAGCGAATTGATCATTACATCCTCTACGTCAAGCGATGCTCCACTCACTTCGGCCCGATATATACTATCATCACCGATCACATGACAAGCAAACAAGGTGAACTGGCAACTGCAACAAGCTCAATCGAACACCCTGAATATTGAATATACAGTATTTCTCAGTCATATTCATATATACCTGTAGTCCAAGGGGAAATGGAATGTTGCAGCAGTCAGCTGTTTTATACATTTAGGTGTAGACGAGCAGTGGTTAGATGAAAAAATCCTTCTGCAGCATGGTGATAGAATAGCAGTATAGAAATGTTTACACCCATAAACCCGTCAGAAGTGCAAAATATCATCAGAGAAGCCGTGGCTCACAGTTCATTAGCTGACTGCAACAGAAAAACAAAGAAAAACAGTCTGGTATTGAGATATTTACAGAAAACGAACTAAACAAACACCTCTACTCTGAGATGTGAGAAGACAATGCCCGCCCATAGTGTCACAGAATCAAGGTGATTGAACAAGATTATACATGCCTACCTCTGGGGGGATCCTGGATAATAACAGCTACCTCAGAGGATGTCGGCAGGTTTATCTTCAATCCCCAACCCGCCTCCAGCTGTAAATTGGCATTCAACTGAATGAAAATGTCTAGATTTTCACACTTAACATTTCAAACGCAGTCTGATACAGAGAGATATAAGGATTGATCTATGAACGAAGAGTAGGTCGGCAGCTGACAGAAAAGAGATGAGAGAAAACACAGACTGGCTGCAGAATGTCACATAGATGCCGCAATATAACAGGATCAATTTTGGCATCACTGGTAAAATTTTGCTGGGGGGTCACATGATGTGTAAAACGTACACCCAGAATCATTTTTCAATTATATAGAGAGAAGATAGAGAGATAGAAACAAGATATATAGAAGAGAGATAGAGAGAGGGGGGAGAAGGGGATGTCGAGTGTTGGGGGCAGTGCAAAATATCGATCCCCCATCAGTCCCAGATTCAGAAAATTGTATCGATCAAAAAATCGCATCCCAGATAACCAGCCATGTACACAGCCCAACAGTCCCCCAAAACACCGCTTGAGCCGTACTTCGTCGCTCAGCCACCCGCTTGAGGTCCTTGTTTCCTTGCCCTACATTGGTCTCCGTATTAACCGCATCCGTAACGAGCTGGTTTATGAACTCCTCTTGCGTAGATAGGTGCATAACCAGTGTCTGCTGTAGAGAGGATATCTCCAGGAGGGATTTCTCAGCGTTCCTAGGAATGGGTTAGTATGGCTCAAATTTGGATGCCCAGTGATATTTGTTGAAATGGCGGTGATAGGGACAAGTGAATTCCCATACGAGAAAGAAGGCACAAGAACATACTGCACTTTTCCCAAATTATCCTCATAACGCTTCAGCAGCCCATCATTCTCTTGCGCAAATAGCTGCAGCTGCTCCGGCGTCAGCTTTGATTCAATCTCCGCTTTTTCCTTCTCATCAATCATATCGGGCGCAATATCTCCAGCACCGGCACCAAGCGCAACGCGATCCCTTAATGGCAACCCACTCTCATCTCCCCTACAAACACCAACACCGACACCGACACCGACACCGACACCAGACATGCCACCCATCTTATACAAAATGCTTTTCTCTTTCTCCCTAGCCCTCTCGATCCTCTTCTCGACCATCCCCCTCTGAACCTCCGCAACCCCTTCCAACCTCCTCCTCAGCCACCACAGCACATTCTCCCTAATAGTCTTCAGCGTCCTCTCTGTCTCCTCCAGCCGTTCCTGCTCAACCGAAACCGCCTTTTTTTCAAGCTCATTTCCCCCCGCCGCCCACTTCCACAGAGCACTGTTCTTGAAATCGAGGCCGAATTTCTTGCGCAGGAGTGTTGATTGGGTTTCTTGGCGGAGGGTTTCGGCTGAGGCAAGGTTGCTGATTGAGCTGGAGAGGTCGCGGAGAAGGAGTGCGGTGGAGGAGTCGATCGTGTCGCGGTCTGCGTCTGCTAAGTGATGCTGCTCTAGCTGGTGCTTTTGATGTTTGAGTGGGTGGTACGCTTGGATAGCTGGTGGGGGAAGGTTATTATGGGAGAAAGGGGCTCGGGGAGTGGTGGTGGAGAGATATGATTGTCGGATGAATTTGAGGTAGGTGAGCAGGGAAGTGATGTGGGCATTCTGTTATGATATTAGCTTAAGGGTTCTGGCCAAGAGCACACTTAATATATTCCGATGTTTCCATTGCTATTGTTAACCTACTATTCTATATGCCTCCTTCAAAAACTCATCCACCGTTTCTGTCGACGGTCGTCCGTCTTCTCCGGGTTTGGATCTGGATTGAATCCCCGCAGCGCCATGGGAGTTGAGGCATTCGTTGAGGAGAGGTGTAATGTCAGTCATTATTGCAGCCGTCGTAGCATTGGATTGTTTTATGATATTTATCTAAATAGATGTGAATGTGTATGTGGATAGTTATATCATGCTTATCCGCAACCTTGAACGGTGATGGATGTTGAAGGTGGAGCTTGTTTGTTGCGCTTGTAGCTACAGTAGCCTTGCGGAGTAGGCTTAGTCATAACCCTAACCACCATGGTTGAGATTGAAGAGACAGCAAAGCAGTTTTCGAATAACAGGTGGGGTTATTTAGGTAGATTTTAAACAATCAAAGGGATTTGCGTATTGCTGACTGAGTAGAAATTATTGATGTTAATATATAGTTATGATCATAGTGTAGAAAATAATAGTTACTAAACACGTCTTCTGCGAGTTGTCCTACATGATTCTTCTTTCAATCAACTTGCTCAACAGGCAGAGTGCAAGCTAATAACAGCAGTGTTATCAATTATCACACAGGGAATTTAGAGGACCATAACCAACACATAATGGTAGTCTCAAGCAGAATCCTTCCGCTCACAACTGCCTGTCGTAGGGGAAAACATATCAGCAGCATGAGGAACAGAGTGAGGACCAACAGGATGCCATTTAAGAAAGCTATGAAAAACAGAGATATGTGAAGACGGAAGTCGATAAAATGATGGAAATGAGTCAAATATCCGAAAAATAAAAATAAAAATAAAAATAAATCTAGTTAGGTAGTTAAGCCGTAAAAGGAAAAAGTAACAAAACTGAGCGAAGGAGGTAAAATCAAAAGATTAATTCCTCCAGTCACACCATATAACATCTTTGCGATGATGCTGTGATATTTAAATAAATTTTTTCCTTACGCAGAAAGTAACAAAACCGAGATTAAGAAGAAAGAGCCACAGGAGAAATAGAGAAGAGAGTGGCTATGTGAGGTTACAGGAAGACAAGATAGATATAGATGTGATGAACATTGATGGTATATAGTCATGGTAGAGAGGAATATGGACGTAGTAGATTCATGAAAACAAATATCAGAAAACGAAATGTCATAAATATGCATCTATGATAATGGAAGGGAAAGGGGGAATTGGGAGATGAGAGTTTATATATTAGCAACTACTACATTTCTTGTGCCCAAATCTGCAGCGAAAAATCGACGAAAGTTAGCATACGCATTTGCAGAACACAAAAGGTTACAAAGGCAATAAGCCGGGAAAACAAAAGACATACCTCAATCTTCCCCATATCAAGCCCCTCCTTCCTTGCCCCATGCTTTGCCGTTGTAAGCAGCATGTCAAGATCATCCTGATCACCCATTGTAACCATATCCCCATCATCCTGCATCTGCAGCCGCACCCGCTGCTTAAATCCAAATTTATCCCGAATCTTAGCCTCAAACTCATTATACCCAACCGATGCGCCAATCATGATAAAACGCACATCGCTGCTGGCATGCACCTTGACTCGGATTTTGCGAATATCTGCCCGCCGTGACAGCTGCCGCCGCTGTGAGCGTGGAGGCATGGCACCCATCATCTCGAACTCTGCGTCGTCAGGAGACTCCTCGTCGTACCCGTCACTAACATAATCGGCATCCTCTACATACCGTGGTTGTTGTCGGGCACGTCTCATACTTAGGCCCCGTGTAGCTCCAGTCGATCGCGAATTATTGGCGTACATGTTATAGACTTCATCAGGATATCCGTCTTCGTTCACAGCGGCAAAAGTCGAGTCCTGTTGCATTCGTCGTGTCGTTTCCCTGTACAAAGGACGGCTAGTTTGGTCACGGTTTCGCATGGTCGAGGGCTGTCTAGAAGGTGGTCCGCGAGGTTCCGAAGCAGTTCGAACGGTTCCAATTCGCACCCTCTCCGTCTGCCTTGCCGCCATTACTCCGGAATCATTGGATTGCATGGCTGATCGATCCAAGTCCAACATCGGAGGCCGGGGTCCGCGCCCTGACATACCGGAAGAATTGCTCGGAGAGCCACCACCCCCAACGGATGGTGGCTTCTCCGATTCGGGCGGTGGTGTTGGTGGAAACATGTTTCTGCTGATGGGCGGTTCTGACTGTTGCCTCCCGCCACGGCTGCTCAGCCCCTTCTGGACTAAATTTGAAGCAGCAAACGATATTGATTCGGGTGGTCGGTCGTCTCGTGCCGTTTCTGTTATATTTCTCTTAATTTCAGATCCTTGGAAGCCAGTAAAGGCATTTGCACGGTCAGAAGCAGCCACTAGCCGGGCCTTCCCAAGATATTCCTTGGTTTTTAAATTCTTAACTTTTGCTTCGCTTGGCCGGTAAACGATTCCTACGGGGATGGAGAAGACAGTGTAGCCCTGCGCAGATTATATTAGACAAAACATGCGGGATACAGACTTTAGGCTGGGGATGACCTACTTCAGCGTTCTCCTTGATAGCCTCATCGATAACATCGTGATCTGATTTGGCTTTTTCTTTCGAAGCATATTCGAGATCCTTCATGCCAGCCTCCACTTGCTGGAGATAGATGTAACATAGCCCCCGATTGAAGAGCACCTCGCAAGAGTACAATTGGAATTTCAGCCCCAGTTGTTCATAATCAATTGACGTATTTCCTCGCAAGTAGAGCAAGGTGTCGTTGAAATTCGCGAGAGCTTCTTCGAAATCGCCCACGAGGAAATTGGAGACACCCTGTTGGAAGTATGCGACGGCGAAGTACTGATCGAGACCTACGGCTCGTTGGTAGCATTCAACCTATGTGCCCAATTAATACATGTTCGAAACTTCCTCTAAGATATTTGGGGGTTTCTATATTTTTCATCACAACGTACAGCTCTGTAATGCTCTCCAAGAGTTGCATAGATAACACCACAGTTGAAAAGGATTTTCGATGTATCCGCGATATTGTTAAAGACCTTTAGCGCCTCCTCAAATTCATTGTTATCGTAGTTCGCAAGAGCTTGAACCCAAGTTTCGATCTCCTAATTCGATACAAAAAGAAGTTATCAGATCAAAAAATACACCCAAAGCTATTGTGAGGACCAACCATCTCCATGTTCCCTTACCTGCTTTAAAGACATTGTGGGACTTCCAAACGTATGCCCCACAGCATGGACGGAAGGTCAGTATGTGGGATTTACGTTCCAACCGCTGACGATCAAAGGGATTAGGTAAACGCTAGCGAATTTCGAGTTCGCACACTGTTAGTTGTAGTTTTTGTTTGTATACTGTGTTATTATGTTTGTTTTCAGAGGGAGAAACGAAAGAGAGAGCAAGTTGGCCGTATTATCTACCTCGAGGTGACTAAATCGGGTGGTTTCTTCTTGCAATTCGCTGATGGGGGTTTTCTGGGCGCGTGATGGCTGTGATTTGGCGGCACGTCGTGCAGTTGATCCTCTTTTGAGGAAACCAGCCTGCCAAATTAACCACGTAGCCGCCGAGCAATCAACAGAAGGTTCTATTCGGGTTAACGTAAGACAAGGTACTTGGGATGCCTGCGTTCTTAAGGCTGGGCGATACTGCATGCAGGCCTTAGATAGCCATCATAATTCTCACTTTTTCGTATGATTAAAGCTTGTCTCCACAAAAAAGATATAATGAGCGACAATTTAGTAAAGATTGACAAGTTCAGGATGTCTGAATCAATCTCAAGATAAGTCAAGAGACATCCGAAAGCCCCAATAGACTTTGGAACAACTTTTGTTCAGTAAATAAAAGGTTGTCTGGTCGAATCGAAGCTGGAGAGGCCCAGCCAGCAATCGTATTTGTCGGGATTAAATATACAAATGAATGAATGAATGAATGAATGACGTTAAAGAGGGATTGAAAGATCAAAATTGCCGCCGTCCAAGCGGAGTAGATGCATCTAAGAGCCAGGTTGTTCAACAGCAAAAGAAAATCTCCGGCAATGGTTCCTCACATGGCAAGAATACAGTGGGATTCTCTCAGAGAAAAAAAGGCAACGGGCCGGTAGATGTTTGTGGTCTCGACCTGGTTAGAGAGGGGTGGACAAGGGGGGGCAGCGTTGAGTCAAAGACGCCTAAACCTGATCTTTGTCACGGTGGGGCAGCCATAGTATCACTCCAGGAGCCTGTAGAAGGATCAGACAGCCCAGACAGTGCAGCATGCCGGCATCAGCTAACGAGACGAAACACGATTTGTGAGATGCGACTTGCCAGAGCCGGGAATTGGTCAACGCTACCCTTGGCTAGACAAATTCCACGTTTTGCAGAAAGAGATGCAGAAAATGACATGATTTGGCTAGTCCAGAATGTAGCTCCCAGCTTCTCGCTACGACTTGAACACTCACAGATGAATGTAAGAAAGATATGGCATTGCTGGCTGGTGGTTGGTTGGTTAACGTTGGTGCCCAGACCTTTGGAAGCAACTTCGCAGGGGGTGCTAATTTTTAAGGGCGCTTTGAGGACGCATGTCGACAGATTGGCTGGGGACGAAACAGAAACCCAACAACAATATCATCACATTGACAGGTAGTAGTAGTACAGAGCTGTTCAAAATTAAATGTTTTGGCTCATATCTCACAAATAATATCAGGATAGAGTTAGATAACACTTTTCTACATTTTAATCTTAGAGTTGCCGTCCACACGAGACTCTGTGACAGCCGTCGACACCGATTCGTGATGGATGGCTGGACTTCCGGCAGTCCGGGTTTGACCCATGTGCCAGGGTTCAACAACTGCAGCTGGAGTCGCATGAAATCGACTCCTGGTCAGAGGTTATAATGAGGCCACCCGGGTGTGGCTTGACAGCTTCGATTTAGCAACTCTCATGTCTCGTGTAAACTGCAATCGTTGGCTATGAATATGGTATCAATGTTGGAAAATTCTTATCCGTCACTTAACAACCGCATGTTTAGCCTTGCCTTGCCCCTATACAGCCATCTGAATCATCATCTCTCCCAACTCTCTGAAGCCCTTCAGCCCTTTGACTGGCGAAACTGCTTGGTTTCGGCGACACCATTCGTCGAGAATGAGAATCCAAACCCAGACGTTCTTCAAACATTCGGCAGCAAAACTTTGTGAAATTGTGGCAAATTTTTACTTCAATTTTTTTTTTTTATATCATTCCCTTTGAAACTTGCTCGGCTCGCTCTTCCCAAACATTCTTTCCAGAACAAGAACATACCATCTTATTGTTGTCCCAGATCCCAGCACTGCGGGCAATAACTCCCACCAGCGTGTTCGGATCTTCCTTCCGGAACGGCCCCTCTTTGGACGCTGACACCACCATGCTCCTCCCAATCAACTCCCATACCGCAACAGGACGGTCGAGGAAAACGTTCCCTTTTCCATTGCTGTCAACTTCTACCTGGCCAAATACTCCCCGTGACGATTCTGATCCTTCAAGGTTTTGTTTCAGAGATTCCCAAATATTCCCAGTCGATGCTGCCCCTTGAGAAATATCTCCCTTCTCTCGAACTGTAGCCCAGTAATTCCCCGGATCAAGCCCATTAATAGTTAGGTCAACAAGCGTCAGTTTGGGGGCGACCTGGACCATGCGGGCGAGTCCACGGATTGAGGTCTTTACGGTACTCGCATGTGTTTCTAAAATACATACTGAGGCATCTTGTCCCACAAAAATATACAACGAAAGGTGGTGAGCGGTGATCTCTCCGAAATTGGGGATGATGCAAATATGAAGTGAAATTAAAAACAAGGGAAGGAACTGACTGTTTGAAGTCCCACATCCTCTGAGGATGGCATCTCTGCCGGTGTTTTGGATTGCAGAAACTATAGCAGACGGTGCAGCAGTTCCTTCGACGACCAAGATCTGGTCCTTCAAATTGCCCTGGACACTCTTGATGCCTAAATAATGCCCAATCTTAGACTTCTGGATTAAATTGCAGTGGTAAGAGCGCAAATCGATATAAGGATGTATATCCTACCATCAAGAGCATGGAGAGATTTCGATACATCCTCAATACAAGCTTCGCAAGATAGAGGCACCGAAAAAATAGCCTATTCTTCTTTGTTAGCATTGAGATGTTTGTCCACGGCGTTGAAGAGGCCTAGTTACCTGGAACGGCTCGATCATTGTTGGAGTGGTTACCGAGGTAGTCAGATCGAAGCGACGCAGTCGGGCAACGGTTATATACCACAGTAGTGCGGGATGAAGCTAATGAGATGATTGATAAGAGTACCTGCTATCCCGATATGCATGTTGCACTCCATCGCAGGCAGGAACAGTAAATGTATATCCACTGGATAGATATGGTGTTGCAGAGTGGAGTTGGCTAAGAAATTGGAGCAAGGTTCGTGATTTTCTGCCCGCAGCCCGCATAAATATAGATCCGCTCCGAGCAATATCAGCCTGGTTAAACCATAATTAACCCATCACAAATATCCCAGACAAAGAGGTCTGGACATCAGGCACCGACACATTGGCCATTGAGATGAATAATGTCTAGCGCTCCGAAATCAAGATGGGCGGAGGATGATGCTGAAACGGAGGCGCTTCTCGAGCAGAAAAGACGGGAAAAGGAAGAACGGAAACGCGCCAAAGCTGAGAAGCAACGTCAACAAGAAGAGGCGCAGAAGAAACTGCTTGTGCAACAACGAACCGATGAAGCGGCAAATGGCTCTTTGCAGGCTCAGGAGGACAGTTTGAATGGCGATGTAGGAAGGCCATCCAAACGTCGCAGACTATCCAATGAACCAGAAGCGCAACACGACATTGGTGACAACAAGCTCCTTTCTCTTCTACGATTTCCCGCCCCGGAATGGAGTCCCTGCAGACATATTGATAATTTTGAACGATTAAACCATATCGAAGAAGGGTCATACGGCCTAGTATCGAGAGCCAAGGAGATTGCTACGGGCGAGATCGTGGCACTCAAGCGATTAAAGATGGAATATTGTAAGGACGGCTTCCCAATTACCGGACTCAGGGAGATACAAACCCTGTTGGAGTCACGACATACAAACATCGTCCATCTACGCGAAGTCGTAATGGGCGCCGCCATGGATGAGTAAGTCTGCAAGATTTCTCTCTGCAACCATCCCCGTTGCGACCCCCTGAAAAGCCCGGATACCGGAAATCATTAACCAGCTCTTCTCCTCATGTACTTCCCTTGTCCGCTGCAGCGTGTACCTCGTCATGGATTTCCTCGAACATGACCTCAAGACGCTCCTCGACGACATGCGTGAACCGTTCCTACCCTCAGAAACGAAGACGCTACTTCTGCAGATCATGTCTGCTACGGAATTCTTACACTCACACTGGATTATGCACCGGGATCTGAAAACATCCAACTTGCTGATGAACAACCGGGGCGAAATCAAACTTGCAGACTTTGGCATGGCGAGGTATTACGGCGACCCGCCGCCAAAATTGACACAATTGGTGGTTACCTTGTGGTACCGATCTCCAGAGCTATTACTCGGTGCGGATAAGTATGGACCGGAGATTGACATGTGGAGTATCGGGTGTATATTTGGTGAGCTCCTAACAAAAGAGCCGCTATTCCAAGGCAAAAATGAAGTCGACCAATTATCCAAGGTATAACCCCCTGCAAACACAAAATTCATCATTCATTTGTATAACATTCGAAAAAAAAACTGACACTCAAAACACAGATCTTTGCTCTCACCGGCCCCCCGACAACCCAAACCTGGCCCTCCTTCCGCTCCCTCCCCAACGCTAAATCCCTCCGCCTCCCCGTAAACGCCCCTCCCCCCACTGCCACAACAGACGGGGGCGTCCCCCTTCTCACCCGCTCGAAATTCCCTTACCTCACCACAGCTGGTCTAACGCTCCTCTCCCACCTGCTAGCCCTCAACCCGACCTCGCGCCCGGACGCAGCAACATGTCTATCACACCCCTATTTCCGCGAAGATCCCAAGCCTAAAGCAAAGGAGATGTTCCCGACATTCCCTTCTAAGGCCGGTATGGAGAAGAGGAGGAGGCGGGAGACGCCTGAGGCACCGAAGAGGGGGCAAGAGGCGCCGCGGTTGGATTTTGCGAATGTCTTTGGAGGGTGGGATGGGGATGGGACTGGAGGGGAGGCGGGGGCCGAGGCGGGGGCGGGGTTTACGTTGCGGTTGGGGTGAAGGGTCTAGTCTTTTCGTTGAGTGCTTCTGGCCCTAGAGTAAATGGCGCTGGGGTAAGGCATAGTATTGCAACATGTACATGCACACTGCATATATGTATAGACAGTCATACGCAGCTGGTTGTGTCATTTCGCGCGCCAGCCACCTTTATATACAAATTTTACCAATGCTAATGTCGTGGGTTAGATATAATGGATTATTATATTAAACACCAATGTTTTGTACGCGCCGATTACATTCGACCGCGTAAAGACACCATGTGTGTAGCATTTAATATTCCGGACCTCACGGGCATCTTCCACTCACTGTCCTAGGGACTTCGGAACAAAACCCCAATTTGAACATGTGGCCGTCATATCTGAAGCACAATCCATTCACGACTCCTGTCTCGGAAGAAGTGTAGGTTCCCCGGTATTAGTGTTAGGTCATCCGTCCGCAAAGTCTCTTCTGTCCATATCAGTTATTTCTACAGCATCCAAGTATCAGAAATTGGAAAAGGGTCAGCGCCATCCCGATGCGCAGCTGTGAAACAAAACCAAAAGAACACCTCCAGACATTCTCTTCTCCTACCTCCTGCGAGGCTATTGCTCCCTTCTCTCTAAGAGAGCCTGCCGCTCGCCCACGGAGCAGGACAAGCTCAATAAATAGGAGGTTGAATCCATTCACTCTTCCGCCTCCTGCTCGTCGTTCCGCGCCACTGCCGCCACTCTTTTCTGGGGGTTAGTGTTAATGCTGGAGATCTGAACAAGGATAGCATATGTGCTGATTTTTTGCATTTCTGTAGAAAAGGAGAGACAAGCAGGATACACCCGTCTACTCTGGGGGACTTGATGTATATCCTCTTCTCGTATCATAAGAGCGTATAATATCTGTAGGAACCAGAAGTGCAATGATAGGGTTCAAACTGCGAGTAAGTAACATTAGTTTATACTGTTGTTCTGTGGGATGGGATTGATAAAAGTTCTAACGGGTGATTGGTTTGGCATGCTCAGAGTCAAGACTTTTGTGATAGTCGTCAAACTCAGAGACGAAATGAGAAAATAAAATAATAAATAAATAAATAAAAAATAGAAATAGAAATAAATCCAGGCCAGAAGGGAGGTTGTCTCTTGCATTCAGGTATAATAAGTTTAAAAAACAATTGCTGGGAAGATGCAGGCCTGTCCAGTTGTGACAGGCGCGGATACTGACTGGTTGATGGAAGTTGGCCCTATCTCACTCTCACACATTAGTATTATCAACATGGCTCAAGCCGAGGGTATCAACATCGATATCGATGGGTATGATATCTCCATGTACATGCACCCGCGCAATTTCATACATCAAGGCCAGTGACGGACTTTCCTTGTTGTTGTTGTTGTTGTTGTCGCGCCGTGCTTAGCCGTTGACATCTTAGCGAGCTACCCTGCAAGTCGCGGAGGTACGGACTATCCGACACCCGAGCCGGAAGATTTAACTTATCACCTGATGAGTGGGCAAATGCACAAGGCAGCAAAATTACCCTGAGGAAGGGATGCCCTTGTCATGACCGTAGTGATAATACGGATACGGATAGTTCCGAGTCATCCCTTCGCAGACCCTGGTTGTGTGGAATGTGGCCAACCCGTTCAACCGATGCAGAAAGTTATGGTAGGAGCAAGGGTCTGTTGGGGCAAAAGTCTCCCGTGGTTGGCGAGTCAACAGAATGACGGCCCATAGTTAGTTATTATCAGATCCGATCCGATCTGATAAGATGTAATCTTACGATACAATATATTACGGTGCATGTTCTTCGTTTCGTTCCTGGCACTAGGCACGAGGCAAAACAACCGCAAATCTTCAGCAGCAGAAATTCACGAAAATCCTCCTTTATATTAAATCCCACTCTTCAGCCGCGGGTGGTCTCGACCTCCCAGTCGTGGGAAAGAATGGAGTCACGGCAAGGAGATCCACAGAGGGGGAAGGCGAGTGGCCCAAAAACACCGCATAGCGACGGACCTGCGGAGCAAAGTGGATAGAGATGTTGCAAGTTGTGCGGTTCCTGGTTGGAGTGCTTTTTCATTCTGGCCACTTTCTGAGTCAGGAACGTTGGATTTGAAGAAGTCGAGAGCTATGGAGTTTTTGTATTATTATTATGTACTATGTAGTGAATATTCCTCCATACTCTGCATGAAACACTGCGTTTTATCAATTAAATTCACTTGAGAAGCAGGAGTGTGTGGCTCTTTTTTTTTTCACATCCAGACCCGCTGTGGATTGGCCCTTGGTAGCTCTTATTACGACCCAGCTTTTGTCGTAACTAAAGGCAGAATGTTGTTACTCAGTGGATACTGCGGCTACCCTAATTAGTGCCTCTCCTCTCCCATTATTTATAGTTTAGATTTAGGTTCAACACACAACAACGTTCCTCCATGAGATTAGCACTTTTGATGAGTCAGTGGCAACTTGTTGAGCATGAATAGACACGGGGTGTGAAACGGGAGCAAAGACCCAAGTACGCGTTATCCAGTCTCCGAACAGGGATATACACGTACGGATCTCCTCCCGCCCTCTCATTCTCTTCCCGCTCCCCTCTCCCTTAATTCCCAGGGAAAAAAAAAAAAAAAAAACAAAGGCAATGTGGGAACCTTTGGACCTTTTTGCGAACCATATTCCTCCTCCCTTTCACTGTCTAGAGCTCGAAACGAGGGATTCTTTTATTATGCCAGGATCATTGTATTTTATATTTATCCGAAAATGGCTTAACATACCGTCTTCAAACTGTCCCGCCTATCAATATACCCCTGATGCATCCAGCCTAGTCGCAGCTACTCATGGATGGAGTGAGAAATTTTATACAGACAAAAAGAGCAATGGTAACGTTAGTGAAACCAAAATTTTAAATAGAATGCTCCACAATGTTATCATCAGCTACCTTACTCCTTCCTAACCTTCTGCAATGCTTTGAAGAAGAATACAGCAAATTCACCGTTGTTTTCAGCCCCGGGGTAAGGTTTTGGAACAACAAACCCCAGAAGAGCTGAAATGCCTGTGCAAGTCAATATGTGTGTCAAGATCCCTTGGTGCAATCAGATCGGCTCCTTATTGGTTAGTTGTTTCCTACCCCATAGGGCTGAGCTGTTGATTTCCAAGGTTGCGCCGGAGTCTGGACTGAAAAGATGACAGTTCTTGTACAAGCAGAGAATAGAAGGTTGAGCGAAAAATACATACAGAAAAGGCCAATTAGAAATACGGACCATGGAAGAAGAAAATGCTAATTCTCTCAGGTTGGGAATTCAACAATTGAGCCTGCGCCACTTGTTGATGAAGGCGTGCTTAAATCCTCTTCCCCCAAATTTACATTTTACGCAAGCTGGTCGAACCCTATGCTGTATAGTTACTGTCAAAAGTCATGGCGCTGTACCAAAATACTCACTCTCTCAGGACTTTGGTTTCAACAGACAAGGAATCAACAATTGATAAAAATAGAAAAAGGCGGGCTGAACATCCTGATGAGTTAATATCAATCTCCACACTCTAGAATTATTGGTTTTGACAGTCTCGGCCTTAAGAATGTGGAATTTACAAAAAGGGGTTTTTTTGCTTCTTTCTCATAACTAGTTAACTACTCAGAAACCCGTTTGAAGTCCACCGAGTCTCGCTAACTAAACTACCAGCCGCATACACTATGGCATAAGGAAGACTGGTAATTTATTCGTTAAATTATTTTTTCTCTTTCGACTATGTACTTGGACGCTGGGAGATTATCTGACAATAGAATTTCATGGCTGCCTCGTGGCAGCCGTGCTTACCTTCACCGCTCTGGCCCTCCGACAGCTGTAGGCCTGTAGCAATATATGCCGAGATAAGGTTTAATGGTTGAATCATGATGATTATTGTCGTTGTCAGTTTAAAATACAGATCGTTGAAGCACGGGTATGGTATGATTCACGAAATATGGTATAGGGTTTTACACGGTGTATGTATAACTAATCAAGGCATCATGCGATCTCAATACCCCCCTGTAACTACTGGATGTTTCCCCGGATCTGCATTAGACTTCCGGTCCTTCGACATGTTTCCTAGAGAGAAAATTGATACAGAACCATACTGGCAACCTTCAAATCACTGATATAAAGGATATGGTGTTGTTTTGCGCCTCGTAATTTTGGGCAACGCTGGCGCTAAGAATGTTTGTAAATCCCTCCCGTTTCTACCAGAATACATCAAGAAGGACGAGAAATCATCTCATGGATCTTCCAGCTCCCATTTTCCATAGTCCCAAACAAACAGAATTCAGGCATATATGAGCTTTTACATATAGCTATAATAGTTAACTACTTAGTTATCCCTTGGTGTCAACGTTAACTACGTAATTGCCGCTCTGAATAGTTTAACTAGTTGACTAGATGACCAATGCCATGAAGCCTGGGAATGAGAAATCACTGGTATGAACTATACCTAGGTACCTTGGTGGATACTCTTGCACTCTGCAGCAAATACTTGGTTATCATGTTAATCACTCTTTTCAACTATAGATAATAAACATATAAACTTCCGAACATCTATCTGGATCATCAGTTTTAAGATTCCTAACCATTTTTCTTCCCTACAACTCAACAAAGTAGATTTGCTCGTGCCCAAGCTCGTGCTCGGGTCCCGAATATGCTCTCATTCGGGTATTCATGTAATTTGAGACAGTGGGTACAGTACAGTGGTCCCAAGTGTTTATTGCTTCCAACAAGTTATTCTTGGTTACAAGTTCACATGTAAACTCATAATTCTGCCGTCCTGTGTTTTTGAGTAATTACATTACAAAATGCCTCTTTCTCACCGCATCCTAAGGCTTTACTTCAGAATCATATATCTGTCGTATTCGTCTCTCGTTGATGGTAGTCCGAGGAAATTCGTGACCGCGGGCTTCCAGCGGCATGGTTTAACCGAACCCTCCATCCCCGGAAGGCTGATGTGGCAGAATTTCATCTCTGGCTCTTCATTAACATTGTACTGTCCAGTACTCCTAAAAGAGGACTACCCGTGTATGCATATTTGTAGACAGTAATGCTCCGTCCCATGGGATAAGGGTACAAAGTTGCCAGACTCGTTAAGAGTAAGAGTCATTGATAAGTTTTGAGGGAATTCTCTTCCAGCATGATATCAGAGAAGGAAGTTAGTTTCAATCATTGATTACCAAAGCAGTCGACAGTTCCTATAAAAATGACTGATAAGTTAGTTTAACTAACTACATGACTCAATATTAGTAATATACAGGGGCTTAGGAAGTTAACTATGATAGAATCCAGAGGTTTGCTCAGATGAAGAAAATGCTTGCGCTTGACTACAGCGCAAATCATTTCTGCAAGAACCGCGAACATTTCGCATTAATCAATCAGATATCTAGCTAGTTAATTGGTTAACGATACTGGAGATTGAGATCATTAAGAGCATCAAGCGCAACAATAACGTTATGTAAGGTTATGAGTTGCCATAATTGAGGCAAATAAGCATCAGTTAGTTCTCTGCACGCACCATGGTCAGTCGCTATGGGATGTCGTCATTAGCCTTCGTTGGCTGAATAATGCTGCATCTTATCTCCGATCTCGGTTTGTCAGCTCTCGGGTATCTTGTACAGTGTGCGCCGGAGATAGGTAATAGGGCAATCAGGATCCCGGTATCTTATTCTAGACCTCAATATTTACATTATCAACCATATCCCTAGTGGTCATGCAAGGAGGATGGAAAGAAATTTTCTGTTCGGCTAGACCAGCAACACCTCGAAGAGAAAATTGAATTATGAATAATGCCAGTTCCTTTCCGGGCAGTTGTTGGTGGGTTGTGTATTTATCGACTATTGATCGACGCGGAGACGGGAGAGTGGTGAGATCCGAGAGGAGTCGGGGAGCGGGCGAATAAATAAAAGAATATTCAAATAATAGTTTACTAACCTTTTGAGAGTTTTTATTCAAAAGCTGAAATACACCAGTGAACAGAAAGAGCGGTGAACGGAAGACAGAGATGTAATATTTTTGATCCAAATATTTTTTGATACAAAATAGTTAAATATATAACTACCTTAATTAGTTACCAATAACCTTTGTCACCACAGCCCACCAGCCCCAAGCTGGGAAAGCCACTGCCTGCCTCACAGGGCCACCACAGTGGGTCATGACCCCATTCGAAGCCCCACCAAGGTTAAATAAAAAAGTCGCTTTGGAGTCTGGAAGCCAAGAACGAGTTTAACTCAGTTCAACTAATTAGGTCAGTTATGAAAAATTACCAAAGATTAACGTTAGTTAACGAGTTAGAAATATTATTAGTTATTAGTAATTAAACCTAAGAAGTATCAGGTATAATATATGTTCTTTGCGTACTTAGTTACCCCTGTAATGTGTCAGTGTAACGGTCAACGGCGTTTAAGGCCCCGTATCACCGTCATTTTGCTTTGTAACGACTGCGGCTCTTCAAGGTCTCGAGACTAGGCTCCATATTTTTCCCATGGGATTCTTTTGCATAAAGATAGCTTGATGTTTCCGGGCTTGTTGTCTATTTCTTTCCCTGATTCTTTTTGGGTCTAAAAAATTCCAAATAATAATAATAATAATAATCCACATCCCACTCTGTCTCCTCTCTCCTATTTCCTCTCTTTAAATATTCTAGAAATTCCCCATTTTGAGGGCCCTCTGACTTGAACTTGGTAAACTTAAGTTCTGCTTCTATATAAAACATAGCTGGGTAAAATACTTCTTACCGTCCTCTATTTTCTGCCAAGCTCAGACCACGCAACCTAAACCACGCTCTCACAGCCTTCGCTGTGATTGGCTCGTTTGGATTGAGGGTTGGTAGATCCAGACTCTCGGCCGACGAATTTTGGCAGGCACCACCGAATCCGTTCCGATTCGCCTGAGCAGTCTTTATCTCGGCACGGTAACTGCGTAACACCAGAGTCATTGACTCACCCGGTCATACATACATAACAAAGCTCCTTCCTCCTCGAGAGTGAAGCAACTGCCCAACAAACAAGAATCAACACATCTCCTGGGGCTCCTTCCTCTGAAAGGTTCCTTCGCTTTCAGACAACAACAACAACAATAACAACAACAAACAACAACAACAACAACAACAACAACAAACAAACAACAACGACAACAACATACAACAACGACAACAACAACAACTATAAGAACAAATAAACAACAAATAAACAACAAATAAACGGCAACAAACAAACAAACAACTCTTACACTTCACACATTTCACTCCTTTCCCACACCATTGGATCCCGACAAAAGGTTGCCTTGGTCTCTCCCATGTCGACGCCGGCCTCCCCGATAGCACTTAGTTCTCCTCCTAAATCCTCCTACACATCTCTCTACTCCCCTTTCTCCTCCACTACATCATACCAGCCCCCTTCCAAAAAACAACGGAAGATGAGCCTGACACAAACTTACTACCTCGCCCATGCCGCTAGAGCAAAGCTCTCCCGGGAAGCATCGCGTCCAGACCACGACCTACGAATCCTGGTGGGCCATGCCAACATGCTGGATTCCCTTATGCTTGACCTCGCAAATGCTGAACGGGAACAGGAGAGATGGTTTCATCAGTCCGTTCGAGGTGCCAATGGCGGTAGCAGAGCGTCAAAAGGAAGCAGGCGCATTCAGTGGGCTGAAGCTGTCGTGGAAGAGCCGGAAGAGGATTGGGAAGTTGAGGATGGGTTGTCTCATTCAGATGAAGAGCCAGAGGATAGCGATGTGAACGATGAAGATGACGATGATTCGGACGATTATGATGATGAGGTTACTTTCACGCACGTCCTTTCTCTCTCAAAATCTTCAAAGCAGCAGCAGCAACAACAAGAGGCATTCCTACCCAAGATCACGACGAGAGAAATAATCCACTACGCAGACGATGAAGAAGCCATAGAAAGTGACGACGATGCAGACGACGGTGAACTGGCTCTTACAAGGACGACGTCGCGCTCTCAACGGCAGCACCAGCAACAGCAGCAACCACCCGATCTCCTCGAAGACTCAGAAAATGACTCCTCGGAAGACGAGTTGTTCCCACTTTCGCCTCCCCAACCCACTATTGATACCTTCCCAACGTCACAGATAAGAAGACACAGTGAAGGAGCATTATCCGTGCCCGTATCTGTTTCCGTTTCAGTCCCAGCTTCGGGCAGTCTCTATTCGAAACGCAGCTCGGAGCAGTCGTTACTATTAGAGGAGGGGGGTTTTTTCCTTCAACGCGAGAGGGGGGCGATGATTGAGGCTTTCTAACCCTTTTATTGTCTGAAAAAGGGATGCTTCTCTCCTTCCCTTTAAATATTCAAATCTACTTGCTTTATCTTACGACGACCGATATATTTTTTGGCACTGATTTCTGAGTGATGTTTTGGCTTCTGGCGAGCGACATTGCAGTTATAAAGCTGCAATTCATATTCAACATTTATATTTAAACTAGTGAGCCAGTGATTACTGGACGGGCAGTGTTATTTTCTTCGCCCTCCTGCATACCAAAAAGTTTCTCGATGCATATTTATCTATCTGGGAGGTTTATTTTCAGCATTGTTATCGTCATCGTCATCGCCCAACACCGTCATCATTGACGCTACTCTCTCCACTTAATTTTTCCAACAAACTCTCTTTCCAGCACGAACATCTCCCCTACGTTTCACATTTTGTCGCCTCTGCTTACTTCCCGAGATACTTCGTCCAAGAAAGAAAGTTGTTTTCAAATTTATTATGGACACTTAGCAAGATTCTCCCTCCATGTTCCCTGTTTACTTCCCTGTTTACTTCCTCCCGGAACAATTTCAGTGATGTCGGATTGGATGGTTGAGAACTGGTCCCTCTATTGCTATGGTTTTAAGGATCCTTGGGTGTTTTTAATTTTTTTTTTAATTTTTATTTTTACGAGGCGAGTTTTATTGGATGAACTCCCTCTGCATGTAAGAGGAGATTTGTATAGAAATAAATTGAAATATATACCTTAGAGCTATATCTCAAACTATATCAACATCTCCAACCAAGAAAACAGCATGCACGTGCACACCAATGTTGGTTACCAAAAGTGTTGAATTGTTTTTTTAAGTTTTGCGAATATAAATTACATCATCATTTGTACCTCATTCGGTGCTTCCATTATTTTCAAAGTATAGGTGAGAAACCAACACCTCCAAACAACGATAAGCGATCATTGCTTAACAATCCATTACCTATTATTGATATCATCAAGTCTCGGACAGCCCAATGATTTGTCCTCCTTCCCCCCATCCTCCCCTGGCTGTTAACGAGAGGTCCGATTTACGGAAGCGAAGTCTAGACTTAAGGTTCTGATCTCATGGGTTGTTCATTCCTTGATTTTCGTGGAGGAATGATGGTGATGAAATTCCTTGATTTTTCCCCGCCAGTGGTGTTCTGGATCCACTAGATAAGGTTGACATTCAGGGATGATTTTTATTTTTTTTTTTCTGGGCTGGCACTTGGGCCCCGGGTGGAGGGTTGGAGAGCTCTTTGTTTACTTGAGCAGCACAGCTGGATGTTTTGAAGCTGTGGTGCGGAGTAAGAACGCAGTAAGTGCGGATTCGGGACCAGGTGGTTAGTGTTTTTTTCTCCATTTGCTCATCTCTATATCTATTCTGCAGGCATAGATAGGTGTGTAAGTAGACATTTTAAACATCTTTTTTAACTACTCTATTGCGTAACTGCATGTCTAGAACATTGAATAACGATCACATGTCATATGGGAAATGTATGGAGGCAACAATTGATAGTCGCCAGCTATACTGAACGAAAGTTTCGAGGCTGCATTTTTGCAATTGAATGTTTATTCCATCATAACGTTGGGGCAAGCTGAGTTGTGTGCAGTACAATACATGCAATTCCAGGGTCCATCCTCCGTCGGTGGGTGAGCGCTGACAATCTCTGAATCGTATCTTGGTTCCGGTGTACGGTGTACGGAGAATTCCTCTTATTGTTCGTTTCACCAAGCATCCCTATCCCTCTCCTTATCCCTGGTGTGGCCTTTTATGCTTTATTTCCCCCCCCCAATCACCTTCTTCTCTTCCCAACGACCCAAAGCAGGGAACAAAATAGCGGAATAAGGCGGTGTGAGACGGGTGATTTTCCAGTGGGGGCTGGGAATTGAAGGGGGGAGGGGAGGACGGAAGTGATTCAGCTTATTCCTTCTCCCCCCCCCCCACCGCCCCCCCCGGGGGTGCGCTGTGCTGGAGGTAGTAAGATGTGTGTCGCACGTTGTATGTGTTGTATGAAGCTCATGGTTAAAGAAATAAATGTCCCGTGTCCGTGTCCATTTTCGATGCTGATGTTTTCGATAGATAAGAGAAGTTGCCGCAGCCAAAGACATTTTAACCCGTTTTTCATCCCTTTCTGCTCTATAAATTCTCGCCCTCTCCCCTTGCCCCCGTGGTAGATCTAGGGGATGGCAATTGGCCTCTTTTCGTTCCTCTCATCCTCGCTAAATCACCTTGCTGCGTTGGCCATCTGCATCTGCACCTTGTACCCTGTTTCTGTTGTTTCTGTTGTGGTTACAGTAATGGCCGTCCTTCTCAGCCTATCACGGGCTGGAGATATGATAAATGATGCGTGGGGGCCGCGAGCCCGGGAGTAACTGGCAGATTCCAGCGGAGAGAGCTGGACTAGAAGCCTAACTAGCAGAAAACGGCTAGTGTGTGGAATAATTTTGATCCGAAACGGGTTTTGGGGTAAACAGAGCTATACTACAACGGGACTAGGTGTGACCGGGAGGGTAGGAGGGTATTTTGGAAGGGGAAAATGAGGCCATCGACATAAAAATCCAAATCATCCCATTTTGGGGGGGATATGGTTAGAAGCAGGTGACAGAAGCTGCGTGGTGCTTGCCATTTTGGCAGCTTGGTCTGGTTTTAACAATCTTGGAACCTTCTCTTTTACTTGCGGTGTGGCTGTTCAGCCTCATCATCTCCTGCCCTCTGAGGCCTTAGCAGGTTTTGTGTCTCTTCTTAACTCGACATCAGTCTTCATCTTCATTTACCCTCCTCGTTTTTCCCTCCCTCATCAACATTTCTCCATCTCCATCTTGATCATTTCGCAAACACGACGTCGTCATCCTCATTAGCCTCCAACTCCTCCTGCTGCAGCTTCCATACCCTCTTCCTGATCCCCACCCGTTTGTGCTCAGGACCCCCATCCCACCAACCTTCTCCCTCCTCTGCCTATCCTCATTCCGTGTTGCCAAGGTTCATCGACAATATTCTTTTGTGTTTTGTGTGTGAATGAACCTCATCCTCAATACATTGCGTCTCTCTTCCCACCCGTGAAAACGTAGCTCTAGTAGTCTCCTGAGCCATGATAGTCTGTCCTGCAATCATCCAGCTCCAAGTCTTAAAGGAGCTTCATGGTGCCTGACATCCCACCTTCTTGCGCGTCTATCGAACAACACCCCCCCCCCCTTTTAAATTTGAAGTTTCCACATTTCCACTATTTCTAGCCAGAATTTACAGAAACAGTGATTGAATCCGTCCCTGTGAGCGGTACGTATTAATCAAATTATCTTCTGCTTTCTCTCGTCCCTATGGTGTACAGTAGTAGCCATGCCTATGATGGAACTTACCCGACATGCGCTGGAGAATCTGAGATATTGCAGCATCTCTTTTAGCCCTTAACACTGACACATCCTTTCTTAGAGACACACAGACCGTGTTTGCTTTTACCATCCCCGCCTCTCCCGACAGGAACTTGATTTGTGGGTCAAAAACAACCGTCAATCTATCGCCTTCTGGGACATATATGTTGTCAGAAAGACCGCCTAAATTAAGCAACGAAGAGAAATAACACTTCAACCGTGTTGGGCGTGGAGTATTGGGATTATTTTTGCCTATCTACGAGTTTTTCTACCTGCTCTGGAATTACATATTGTCACTGAATATCACCCGTCTACAAACCCCCTTGTGGTTATATCGACACAAACACCCGCTGTAACGAGTGTTTCCCGGTTTTCGATATCCGGTTTCTAATGGCCGAGTCGATATCCCCAACCACCTCGCCGGGCACTGGTTTTCAAGCCTTGGGATCTGATGACACTGTGCAACCCCACCAAGGTGATTCTAGTGTTTCTACTTTGGATGGGTCGAGTGCCGTGGCGGCTGAGATTCTCCGTCGACGGTCGATCCAGTTCAATGTTCCAAATGCTACCACCGAATTATCAAGGAAACGGGCAGAGAGCACGAGAAGTTTGACCCACCGCGGTAGTCTCGGCAGAATCCCCTCCCCTCCCCCACCCAGGTCAGTTTCATCTCTTGCTTACTGGTCAATTTTTGGTTTCCTTTCGCCATTCTTTCTCTACTTTCTCTCCACATTGCATTTTGGTTATGGGTGTTCTATTTCATCTTCTGCCTGTGGCTTATGAGCTGTGGCTGGGCTGAGTTTTAACTCAATACCACGCATCATAATTCGCTTATGTATCAAGTCTGCCCCACACCTGTGAACACCTGTGGCTGCGCCTCTTTCAAATATCCTACAAGACTCCGCAGAAATGGACTTTAGTAAAACACTCTCAAATCAACCCTCACAATTACACAATAATAACTGCAGCATGCATTATCGATCCCACTCAGACAGCCATTATCAATACCATTCGAACATTACACTAACAGCTTCCCTCGATTCCAGTGCCTACAATCGCGGCGTCTCCTTCGACACCTTCGATAACCGCGACGCCACTGATTTCTCATTAACGCTCAATTACAAACACAAAGACTATCAGGCCACCCGGCGCAGTCGAACTTTTCTTTGCGGTACTGATCAGAACGAATATTCCGACTTCGCACTCGAATGGCTGATTGATGAACTTGTCGATGATGGGGATGAGATTGTTTGTTTACGGGTCGTTGAGAAGGACTCGAAGATTGCTAGTGATGCAAGCGTTGAGGAGAGGAAATATAGACAGGAGGCACAAAAGTTGCTTGATCAAGTGATTGCGAAGAATAGCCAGGACGAGAAAGCTATTAGCTTGGTTATGGAGTTGGCTGTTGGCAAAGTACAGGAGATTATACAACGAATGGTATGGGTCCCATTGTTTACCGTTTTTTATTATCTCTCCGCTTTCTCCTTTGGGATCCGTTTCTGATCGTCATACTATATCCAAGATCCAAATCTATGAGCCCTCCGTGCTTATCGTTGGTACCCGTGGACGCAGTCTAGGTGGTATGCAAGTCCTCCTCCCTGGCTCCGTCTCTAAATACTGTCTCCAACAATCTCCCATCCCCGTCATCGTCGTCCGCCCCACCGCGAAACGCGAGAAGAAGAAACAAAAGCGTCTTGCGAATCCTTCACGACAACGCTATAACCACTTACTCCGTCTGAGCGACATGAAAAGCGGTCGTGTATTCGACGCATCGCACAGCGCTAACAGTAGAGCGGTGAAGTTTCCAGAGGAGGGAGCAGCGGTTGGTCAGGCGGCTGGAACGCGCCCTGGTGGTGAACAAGAATATCAGAACCATCACCTATCGTTTTCGAAGGATACGGCGTCTGATGACGTCGATGATGATGAGGGGAGGAGTGAGAGTCGACGGAGTTCCAGTGTCTTTGGTTCGAAAGTATCTGGATCTGGATCTGAATTGTCTCCTGGAATGACGGAGGCGGGTATGCGGGATATTGAGAGTCCTGCTGTTACTGATGGCGAGAACGAAGATGACCGTGAACATGAGCATGGACATGATGATGGTGGTGCTCTGGAACGGGAACGGGAACGGACGGCGCAAGAGTTGACGCCAACTCCTCCTGATGGGCGTCGTTCCGAGGATGCCAATGCGGTTGCGAATGCGAATGCGAATGTGCAAGCACCGAAGACGCCTCTTGTTCCCATTACTAATGTCAATGTGAGGGAATATTCGCAGAATGTTGACGAGCCGCACTGATGTGTGATGATATACGTACGTTTCGTTCGTTCGTTCTTACGCATGGGAAGGGTGTGGATTGATTTGTTGATTTTTCGATGAGGGTATATCAATAAACTATTAATTAAGCTGGTTGTGGTCTTGTTTTTCTTTGTATATCGAATTATGGATTGGATTCTGGAGGGCTGGGTGTACTCTCCTTTCAGTTGTTGCTTTTATACGCCCTTGCGCCGTTTTATCCCCCTTGGGAGTTGTTTATTGTTTATCGGTTCTTCTTTTATTTTTCCACGGTTCTCTGCCAATCAGATTTAAGGATGCCGTTTTTGGACTCCCAATCCGGCATTGTTTGCTCAACCCTACTCGTAACTCCCCTACGGCAAATTTAAAACCTTTGATACCTCGAAGATTGAAAAAGAAATGCTTGTTTTCTCTTCGTCTTTTTGTTTATATATAGTTACCATTTTGAGCCCGTCTTATTTGACGGACATGTTTTGCCTGTCTTTGCTCATCTGTGAGGATACGGAACTGAAATAATAATACATATTTTAAAAACAAGCCTTTCCTCCCCATCTCAATGAGACTTTTGAAAGTAATGAATTGCATTGTTTATTTCATTTAAATAGGGACACTACGGAGTCCATGGGAATTTAACAACAATCTCTTGCATGCATGTAAAATTATGTGGGATGGTTGGTTTTCCATTGGTGGGAGGACTGGCCAGCTAACTGATATACGCGTACATCACGTGAGTGGTGCGGCTACCGGGCGGTCATGCCCAACAAATTACAATGTAAGTTCTTGCCTGACAAAAGAATGGAGCCAAATTTTTGCTATTCGATGGGTCTAACCCGAATGGGCAGGGCTTGAGATTCAACGGCTGCAAGATTGAACCTTAAATAGCTCCACGTGACATTAGTTTTTGACATCCGCTAATTAGTCCCAAACAGGCTACTGCGCGCAGAATAAGCTTTATCTTCGGTCCCCACCAGCTTTTGACCCTCCTCCAACCAGCAATCAACAACCGACGACAACGACGACGACGACGACGACGACGACGATTGATCTCAACTGCCCTAACCTGCACTCCTCATGTTATCCATTTAAACCCTGCTATATGTGGTGCCAGTGGTGGCCAGATACCCACCGTAAACATTTCAGCTGTCTTTCTTCTATCAATCCTTTGCCCGCTATCTCGCTAGGTTAACATCGAAGCTCTATCAGCGTAGCTCAAGCTATCATCGTCTCAGCTCCCGGTGGTTATATTGGTCTGCTAGATCCTCTGAAGCGTCTATCTTCTCATATATTTTGATCTGTCTTTATATATTCAGCATTGTATATGTCCCCACCATACTCTCCGTGACTGGCGTTATATCGTGCTATCTAGCAGTGAACTTTACCGAAGGTGATCGACCACCTTGCCTTTATTCACTTGATATTTTCCCACTGAGCGACTGCAACTGTTTGAATTGCATTCTGTGTCCACAACTCCGTTTCTACCTCCGTTTGAACAGCTGTTGTATATTCTTCTTGCAATCCATACATACCCTAAATACTCACACATTATCGTCACCCGTGTCTATGAATTTGTTGAAAAATCCAATCATAACGACATGGACGTACACCTTGTGGCTAGTGGCAACGGCGCTATAGCTGGACCTTCGTCAGGCCCCCTTCCTACGGGAGTCTCTGCTAGCGGTGCTGGCACCGGTTGTGATCAGCAAGAGGAGAAACCCTCGTTATTTTCGTCAGATGAAAACTGGGATTCGGAAAGGAAACTAGTGACCGCTCTATCGATGTTGCAACAAATGGAAGCTAAGGTCTGTAATCCTTTCCAGACATCCATCCGTTAAACATCTTTATCCGCAAGATATTTGTGCGCTTGGTTCAGGCCTATTTGAAGGAGATATCAGAAACTGGGAGCCAAAATGCGTACTAACACTCCTCAGATCCACGCTCTTCGAACCCTTGTCCCGACCCGCTTGCTCTCCCCCTTAATACCTATTGCGAATCCCGATTCACGAACACCAATACCGAAATCCCCGCTGGATATGTTTGAGGAGCTCTCCCGAACGGCTCGCAATGGAGTGGCTGAAGTGGAGAACTTCAGGTCTGAATGGCAGAACCCGGATATGAAGGCCATCTGGGATCGAATAGACCTGAAACTAGTTGAAAGCGGGGGCGACTATCCGCCAACGACAGGGATGTGGGATCGGGACTATGAGAATATCTTGAAAAATCTGGATAGGGAAGAGGCTCTGGAGAAGGAGCGGAAGAGGCGGCTGGAGGAAGAGGAGGAAAAGGTCAGAGCGGCGTCTAGTGAAAGTGGATGGAAAGATGTCGTTGAGGAGTACAAGAAAAGGGATATTCCAATATCCATTAACATTCCGCGACTTGCCGATAATGTTGGTCGCTTCTCCGTCACGATCAAGAAAATTTCATTGCAATTTTGTGTCCTTCAAGAACCGCGCTACGATAACAAGAGCCCCAGGGAATGGCAAGTGATGATCGTACCTCGAGGGAACGCAACCAAGATGGAAACGGAGATATTGGACTGTATCAAATCGAGAGACAGGAAATGGGACCTCCGGTATCTTCTGGTAGGTGTCCCCATACCTCTATTTTCTTTTGCTTGAAATAAGTCTAGCTATTTTAATTCCCGGAATTCAGGCTAATATAACTCTACTTATGTTAGGATATGCTCTGTTCCTATACGGACGTCAAAAGAACAAGGTGCATAAGCTGCAACCAACTAACTGATATCAACGCTCAACTACCAACATTCCGAAAACCATCTCTGATCAAATCAGCCAACAACAAAACAAACATCATCTGGAACTCATATCATCCAGGCTGTCTCTAATTCACAAAAGCACTTCGCCCATATTCTTTCCACATGACTCAGTTCCTTCTCCCAACCTTTCCAACTTTCCATCAAGCAAAACGCACCATCACGGCTCGTCAAGCTAGTGCTCCATACCATCGACATCCCTAAAACTCCACGGAGTCTTTCTTAAGATGCCCTTCCGGATCATCGAAATTACGATACCTAACCCCCCCCCCCCCACGTCCGCGCATTCGCAGCCCCAAACCTCCTCGTTCTAAAGCCATATCTCTTTTCCGGGTCCCGTCGCGCCAATACAGTAAGCACCTACAAGGGAAGCGGCATGGCATCCGCAACGTCCTTCCCTGGTTCCACTCCCTCCCCCCCCCCCCCACCCAGTCCAGTGGGTGGGTTTCTCCCATAGACTGTTGGGGTTGTGGGGGAGGGTGCCAATGGATATGTCTGGGCCTTTGTTGGAGAGGACGTCTTTGTACCGGCGGCTAGGTGGCCATCGTGCTGGGTTGCTGGGTTGGTGGTCTCTGGGCCAAATCCAGGCTAGGGATTGTTGTCTTGAGTGATGGAGTGGGTTTTGCTACGGGTGTTTGTGTGGGTGTTTCATTTTTACAGTTGCTTCGTTGTGGAAATATGGGTAATCGGGGGGGAGGATGTATCTCTATTTCTGTATTTTAGATGTCTTTTGTGTTGTGCTTTGGTATCTATTATCTTCTTTTTAGGTTTTGGGTTCGATAGGGATAGAGATACCTCTCTACTCTTCCTTTCTGTTTTCTTACCGAGGGAACGCCCTTTTAATGAGAGAGGAGTCATTCGTAGTCTTATCAATTTGTTTGCTTGGAGAGCTGGCATGGGTACTATAGCACGTATTTGCTATATCATAGATTTGAGGATGATAACATGTGTTGCCCTTCATTCTGTGTTTTAACATCGAAGCCCCAAGTCTGAAGTTCGACAAACAGGGGTAAATGTGTAAGCGAAATATCTTCATGCTCTGCGCTAGAGTGAGAGAACTGAATTTTTGCTGATTTTCAAAAGTCCTAAGTGAAAATGCATGTGTGAGAAAAGAAGACGGACTTTAGAAACAAAGGATGCATTATCAATTAAACAGACGAATAAATATCATGAAATACAATCATAAAAGAGAGGAAAACTGTATGACACAAGTAAGGAAAATAAATAGGAAAACCAAAGCACCTGCCTTCATGCCGCACTTTTTCTGCATTCTTGATAAAGAACCAAAATATTCATGCTCAGCTGCAATAACAAAATGAAAACAAAGATCATACTCGCACAAAAGCAGTACACTCACAAAAATAGCAATGCCCGGTACAAATCACATCATCATAACAGAAAAACTAAGGGAAACAGAATACCGACAGCAGGAATGAAACTGAGAACATGGGAACAAGACACCGATAGATGAGATACAGCAATATCTATATGCCTGAAAGGGTTAATGTTGATTAAAGCTTTACTATTGCAAAATTTGGGATGACAAAGACGGGAGATAATGTAAATAGAAGGACAAGATAAGAAGAGATCTGTAAGTTTACCAAGACAAGCGAAGAGATGGAGAACAGAGAGAAACCAACAAGGCTAGGCCAGCAACCCAATACCCGTAACGAACCACGTAAATGACAGAACTGTAATCATGGCCATGCCAAACATAAACTTCAGAGCTTGACGGTCCATGTCTGACATAGCTGCGTTGCAAGTGGAACACACGTAATCTAGAAAATGTTAAAGACCCGTTAACAAGCAAGCAAGCAATCGATGCAACCAAAGTTATACGAGTGTTCAAACAACTGCACTACCAAGGGATTCGGAATTGAGCACATACCAGTCTGTGGGGAATACATTCCGAAGGTTAACTGGTTATATAAAGTTAGAAGGCCAGGCTGAGGTGGGTCTGTTGGACTCTTGGACATGTCATAGACGAGAAGCGTGTATTTTTCGGTTAATAGAGGCTCGTTTTGGGTATTGTAGACACTCGTGTCCCAGGTAACCTCTGCGGTTGGGTCAACAGTCATATTCGAAGAGATTGTGTATGTGTGAGAATTTTTGCTGCAGTAGGCAGCCACTACAATCGCAGACGGGGTGACAATTAGAGATGTGTAATTCCATTTAAATGTCGCCGTGGTTCCGATTTTGATATAAGTTGGCCCATCAGTTATTGCTGGTTGGACCACCATAATACCGCCTGGGGGTGCATCGAACGGGATTTCTGTGGTTTTCGGCTCTGAGGTTGTTTCACTATTGGTATCGGTTTCTGTGGACCCGGTGGTTCTATCGCTATTGTCACCAGTGGCGTTTTCTGTTGAATCCGCAGTTCTTGTTGGTGCATCGGTGATGGTAGAATCCTCTGTTTTGGTTGGTTCATTCGATGCAGTGTTTTCTGGGAACCATTAGAACGGCCTGACTTCTAAAGAGGGGAGACAGGATTTAAAACTCACCTCCATCTTGCCGTCGTGCAAAAGCAACTGGATGTAGTACGTTGACATTGCCATTCCCGATCGAGGGTCTCACATACAAAACCAGCAAAAGCAATGAACAAACGAGGAAGACATGGCTGAATGGCCGCATGTTGAACGAACGACTCCGATCCCTTCTGGAGTGGAGAATTCCACTTCAACGAGTGCAGATCAAAAAATAAAAGAATGACCCACACGCCTTTCCAATCCCCCAAATAACATCCAAAAGGCAAAGTGAAAATTTCTGATTTTCCGAAACAAAGATATATGCTATACCAGGAAGAATTTATAAGCTGTTATCCCTCTAAGACCCCTTCTGGAACCTGACAGATTAGGAATTCGAATTCCTCACAATATCCTTCCTTAAAACAAAAAAGAGATCTTGTTTCAAGACTCAACGGCGGGCTTCAACTTAAATCCCAGGCTAAAACTTGTGGTGGACGTGTGCGTTTGTTTATTGTTGAAATGTCGTCTTCGGTGGAGTTTTAGTGAGACCCGATGGCCGAAGGTGTTGGTAGGGGTTGGTAATAATAAAAGTCTTCCAAAATTCTTCCAACGAGAGAAAGAAGAAAAACTCCTGGGAAACGATGAAGCGAAGGTTATTGCAATGCTAATGCGGCCGCCTCGAAAGGAAATATCCAATGGCCCCACTTGAAGGGAGAGAGGGTGACAAGAGGCGGTTGAAGAGAAGGAAGATAGCGATCGACGACGATATCGAACAGTAACAGAGAAAGGGAGGGAGAGAAAGAAATGAGACAGCAGCGATGCCTGTGATGATGACAGCGAAGTTGGGAAGAAGAGCAGATGAAGATGAAGAAGATGAGGAATTGTTGTTGGTTGATGACCTGGACAAGGCAATGTCCTGAAACAGAAAACACGTGACTCTCAGGCAAGACACACTAAACACGGCTGGGCCTCAGTGCATCGCCTCAAATCTCATCTCGTTGTCAAATCTTGTTAGGACGGAGTTAACGGTGTCATGCCCTCTATTCTCATCACTGCCAAGCTGTGTGGAGTTGAAATACAAAGCTGCTGAAGCCTCAGATTTACATGCAGCTGTCTTGAAAGCATCCAGTATTTCCCCTGATCTTGGATGAAAATTCATTGGTCTGTGGCTCCTGGCCCCCATAGACCTCTTATTCTAACTTCACAATCAAGATTTTAATTGACCCGGCCAATTGTACTGTCCATCTCGTCCACCTTGTCAGAGGCTCTCGCTAGCTAGCAGTTGCTCAGCCAGCTAAATGGCCCCTTGACACTGCTGCTTTTATGAACTTCTGAAGATCAAACTCCACATACTTAAATTCGGGATTCCTGTTAATCTTGGTTGAGATCTACGGTGGTGAGCATTTCACCAACGCTACAGCGTTTCCAGGTTGGATTGGTTTAATAACATTTTTACGGGATTTACGGGATGCAGTGTACATGTTTTTTCAAGTACCCTCCCACGCTTGCAGCATAGGAAGCATTGGGATTTCGCCTCGAGTGGATGTGAATCAACGACATGACTGAGACAGATTGCATTCTGCTCGACCCCTTATTTTCTATATACAGTAATGTTAACGCTGAACACTCAACGCTCTGACAGCTAGCAGATAACCTAAAAATGAGCCTCTCAAACAACACCCTCTCCGTCTTTTACGCATTCGAGTTCACCAATCCAGCGCGAGCGATAATCAGAACACCAGTAACGCAACAAAGAATATCAAGGTCTAACAGCTACCTCTAATGCATATACCAGGTTTACGCGACACTTTCCATTTTCAGTTTGATTTTCGTGCAGGTCGGTGGAAGCATGGAATAGTTATTGTGATGAATAACTGGGGCAGGTTATGCCACCATTGGCAACCTGAACACGTTACATCAGTCAATCGTGCCCATCGAAGATCCATAAGTAATACCAAGCAGATAGTTACAAGAAGCGAAACAACTCAAGAGATAACGAAAATGGGGTCAGACTTACCAATTCATACATCGAAGGGATAATCTTTATATTTCAAATATCCGTCTTGATACAAGAAACCTCCTATGCCGGGCGCAGGAATGACAGCCGCGTTACTCCATCCTGAACAGGATTTATCTCGGATTAACGTTCTACCTGTGTTCAAACAAATAAGGACGGGGGCAAGAAGGGGGAAAGCAAGGCAAATGTTGAAATATACTCTGATTGGCATTATGAAAATACCCAAACCCCAGGCATCCTTCATATCGAGTATGAATCGTTGTGACTCCGAATCATAGTCGCACCAGCTCTCCACAGCCTTTGACTGCCGTGAACGAAAACCAAATCATAAAACATTCCAACAATCCACGCCAGCCATGTACAAGTTGTTGAACGTTGGGTGAAGATAGGTTTCGGTCCTCAGGTAGTAGAACGGCTTATGGGGCGTGGGCTTGCCATTGGCTGGTTGTGTAGATTCGCTCTAGCGCCCAAACCACCGAAGCGGCAGGACTCAAATTTGAACGGGATGCAGGGACTGCCTGCCCGACGGCGTGGCCGAGAAGCGAAGTGAGGAGAATCATGGGAGTGAGGATGAGAGAACGTATATTCTTATTACGACGCTTATTGCCTGGTTATTAGATCCATTTTTCACCGAAATCTGCGATCACATTTCGACAGCTTCTCTACAGATTTTAAACGGATGAAGATTGAGAAATACATTGGGAAAATCCCAGGGAATAAATACCCCCAAGGTCCAGACTTTTTACCACCGCGTGGCCCCTCCTCCCATGCCAAAAGGCCATTTCTATGTCTACTACCTCCCCCGACCTTCCTGAGTCGAACTCTCTTGGATTCAAAAGATTTTTTTCCCCCGTCCTCCCTGGGCCTTTCTGCCATGAAAAGACTAGGCTTTCCTCTTATTCGGATGTGGCGGCAAAAATGATCATCAACAGCTATGCGAATGCAACGAAAATCGCTGGAACCACCGCCCCAGGTGCCTGGGTACGTTTTTGAATGACCGATACGTTCTCCGAGGATGGGTCAGAGTGGGATTTCCGCTCAGAATATGATTTGTCAACTCGCTAAACTCTACTTGTTATTGCATTTACCTGGACGCATAGCCCTTGAAGCCTTTGGATTGCGGTTAAACTAAGTTTGGAGGCGGGAGAGGTACCAGGAGTTTAGCGCCAGTTAACTTCTGGGCAGAGCCCCGAGTTCCACTCACCCCAGAGATCCACTTGCCAGGAGCAAAGGCCACTGGAGGAACGGCATTAAATATCACGTGATCACAATAGATATCTCCGAAGGCCGGATGCAGTTCGGGAGCAGTTCGGGATATAAGGTGCTTTTGGTCCATAGTGTACGTTACCGACGACGGAAGCTGTGGAACATTAGTTACCGAATTAGAAAGACATTACTGAGATGGATCGTTAAATGGAAGTGGAATAATACGTGATGGGAACTGACTTCGCATGTGGAAAGCTTTGAAAACTAGGTGACTAATTTGAACATAATTTCTGGGGAATCATTTGGCTTTAAGTGTGTACGTGCATACAATGGGCTGGCACCCAGATTGCATGGATGCAGTGCCTGGTCTCAACATGCGCTGCAAATCTCTTGTTTGCGCCTCCAAACATGGGCTTAACTAGAATACCCCGGTTCTGTTGATGATTGGGTTAGAGGCAATGTTGGCATTTTTCTCGACACTACAGGATATTGTTCTGAATATAATCCTGGTTCGGAACAAAGGAGAAAGGAAAACGTTATGTATTCTAACTTTCTCTTGTGGATGAATCTGGCTTCTAGCAGCCCTTATATTTCTGACGGACGTTTCTGTCATGTATCAGGCATCAATTCCTTGCCCCTAGGATTCAGAATCCTAGGTTTACTTTGTTATTAAGCGGGATTGACGCGTCTAGACGATTCATTCTTCACTACCTGAAAATCCATCCACGTCGTGCAAGCCTGGCACTACATGAGCTTGGAGCCAGCCGGCCTGATGACGCCCTTTTGAACCCTAAGTAAGCGCAATACTCACCAAGCTACTCCGTATACCCCCTACAACGTCAAGTTTTACATTATTTGAGATGATGTTTGACCTAAGCGCCAATACCAACTCATTACGATCGAAAAAGGCCCAAAGTTGGAATTCAGTCAAAAAAGGCGGAAACGTTTGGAAAATAAGGCAAATTTGTTTTTGTGTGATTTTTGCTTTCGCATAAGAGAATCTGCTACCATTCAAGAGCTTCTACTTGCTGGTTGCGTGTCGGTATGAAAAAGTCTCTTATATTCAGCACTGGCTCGACATTGTTGCAGAGGGTATATGCAGCTGTGGTAGCAGTAGAGGGAAAAGGGGAGAACATAAGGGGCCGGTAGTTCCGGGGTCCGCAGCCTTCTGGCATCTAGCGGAACTCCTGCTGGGAGTTCTCTGAGAGGAATTCAGAACCTCGGGCGATCCGTAACTTCGGTTATTCGACGCCACGCGAGAGAAGTCAACATATCACCTGTTGTGGTAGAGAATAGGGAAGAAACGTATTAGGGACGTGTCGTACCGGTCCTGCACCGTAATACTTCGGTGCTGAATATTCCAACCGGGCAACAGCAGATATCTGCCTGTTCAAATATTCCGATTAGTTCAGGTTCTTCGCGAGCTGCATCACCACCACTCGGCAAGGTGTCACCTGACAACCCAAGGACTGTCAATATAATCGGGTTTGGAGCCTCGCGTTTGTTGCTGTCATTGGATGAAGGGGACATGGATGGCCATGACAGGCCTTCCACAGCAGGATCAGGCTCCATGCCAGGAGAGGAGCAAAAATGGTCGGGTCCCAGGTAAAAGAGATATTGAATACTGAACATTTTATCAGATTGTCAGGGTGCTGTTAGTGAGGGTTGGGAGTCTTACTGGAAGGTCTGGGGGGTTTTGAGGCTAATAAATAAGGTTAAGGTTAGCTTTAGGTTAGGGTTAGTTAAGGATAAGGGTCTGGAATACGATATAATCCACTTGCCATCAAGAGCATATGGAGATGTGTGTGGTAAGATACGTGTGTAATGTAGTTTGAATTGGGGTTGTTCATAAACCACGTTCAACTGAAGTGCTGGGCCCACTGCTCCTTCAGCCCCGCGCACTTAGCTCGAGAAGCCCGGAGATTCCGAACGGTAAGTTTTCATTTCGATATTTACTTTATTATGGAATTGCGAAATACTGCTGATAGTCATAATTACCTTCCCGGAATATTGTACCATTAATTAAGTATTCGCGGCCAAATGAAGCGGGATCATATTTGACTGGGTAAAATCGGGTCAAAAGAGGTTTGAAGGGAATGACTTGACATCAACCGAAGAGTGAATATGCACCGTGCATGTACAAAGGAAGTTAGCTTCGTAGAATGCACCCCTCTATATCGGCTGGATGCGGGAAATGCCCGTCGGTTTTCCTTTCCTGCAATATACAAAACCCTGATTTATCATCATGATCATCGTGACAATGATCTATACCTATCTAAACACGAGGTGGCAGGATTGATTCAAAGGTATGATATTATCCAAATGGCCTGCAGAACCCAGGGCACCGGGAAGAGATGTTAGGACGAGAATATAAAAATTATAAAAAATAAAAAATAAAAAATAAAAAATAAAAAGAGGGTGGGGAAGAGAAAATCTCGAAGGGCCTAGCCACGTATCCCTGGTAGAGTTTCAAAATAGGCCGTCCCAATCCAACAATCCTCCAATAGGAGATACCGAGGACAAAGAAAAATCCCTCACGCCGCATACTCCGGACGAAGCACCCATTTCCCCCTGGCCCGTACCCCCGTCTTCTCCAAAACAGCAATAGTCCGCAACATCTCCTTGAACTCCATCGTAGCCCGCGGCGAGTCGCAGAACCGATTAAAATGATCAATGAGGCTCTGCGTATGCACAGATCCGCCATGCGCCAGGATATAATCACGGATCATTTTTAGAAAGTCCTTGCCTCGCTGAGTAGCAAACGCAGGAGTCCCTGATCGTGGGGTGCTGGTACAGGATACATTGCTACTGCTGCCGCTGCCGACTGTAAGTGTACGGTTTGTGAGGTTAGCAAGGAGGCTGGCGGAGGATGGACCCCCTGTGGCTCGACGGATGGTGCTGCCTCCACCCCCAAATGAATGAGAGGATGTAGCCGTCCCACGTCGCTGCAGAGTACTTTCCGGCCTACCTGCAACCCCAAACTGGCCTGTCCATGTCGGCGTGCCCACAGGGATAGATTTTGCAAGTTCGCCAGCCCTGAGAAGTTCCTTGGCAGCTTCAGCAGCTACCTTTTTGGCTTCCGCCTCGATAATTTTGGGATCTGCTTTTACAATGCGTTTACCATTGACGATCTGCTCGTGTTCAACCGCAGAGTGAACGCCGGAACGGGCGAAGATGCCTTCCATTAACCGAGCTTCTGAGTTTGGAGCTGCTGTACTCTTCGTCTCGGACGCGGTAGGTGTCTCAGCTGGACTTTGGAAGGGTTCAAGAGAAGCGACGCCCGTGACGTGACTGATCTTATTTTGTTCTTCTTGATCTACCACTGTACTTTCACCGGCTGCGGGATTATCCGTTGCTCCATGTTTCGCCGATTCTTGAAACTTCACCTCAGCCTCTTTGAATAACTCACTTGTTTCTGTTGGACCGTCGTTCCCAAGGGTAAATAAATCGTGCAAATCACTCATATGGAAAGTTTGGCGCTGCTTTGGATCCCTCAGAATCTTATTGGTCAAGAATTGCTTGAATATTTGGCGGTGGTATATTTTCTCCTCAATGGTTCCCGCTGTCATAAGTCTATAAATAGTTACCTCCCGCTTCTGACCCAACCTCCACGCTCTCTCGCGAGCTTGAACATCCGTTGAAGGGTTCCAATCTGGGTCATAAATGATAACACGGTCCGCACCCGTTAAATTGACACCCAGACCACCAACTTTAGTAGTTAGAAGGAAAATATGGATTTCTGGATTATTATTAAACTCATCAACCAAACTTTGACGGAGTTTAATTGGAGTATTCCCGTCCATCCTTTGATATTTGAACCCTGTCATCGATTTGATGAACCGTTCAAGAATATCCAGCATAATTCGATGCTGAGCAAAAAGGAGAGATTTATGACCCGTCTCCTTCCATAATTCAAGAAGGGCCTTAACGACTTGCATTTTCCCAGACTTGGCCGCGCTTCCGTAATTGTATCCTGGTTTCGTAGAGAGCGTCTTGTGTTCTGGAAGATCCGGGTGGTTGCAAATTTTGCGAAGCATGTCGATGCCATATAATGCTTCCCGACGACCCCTGAGGATCGATGACATTTCATTAGATCCCAAAAACGCCTGATAAGCGGATCTCTGTATCTTCGTGAGTTTGCAGAAGAGAACCTGTTCGCTCTTCTTAGGAAGGTCCGCAGCAACATCTATTTTAAATCGCTGAAGAAGGTAAGGACTGATGGCATCTTTCAGCGTCTCTGCACACTTGGCAGCGGTTTGAACCTGCAGATTTGACGCATTCGCATAGCCCCCCTGACGGATTGGGAATTCAAACTGGTTGCGAAAATTGACTAAGGTCCCCAGTCTCATGGGGAATACAAAGTCGAATAGCGACCAAAGTTCAGTCAGATTGTTTTGCATGGGGGTTCCGGAAAGGATCAGACGGTGTGCAGTTCGTAATTCTTTGCAGTGGATCGTAATTGCTGTATCTGGATTTCGAATCTTGTGTCCTTCGTCCAGGATGGAACAGCCCCATTCAACTGGAATTAACAAGGATGAGTAAGTTTGCAGGCCAGAGTAAGTGGTCACTAGTACATGGCCTTTGGCTAGGACTCGATCTAAAATCTTTTTGGCAGCCTTTTGCTCCTTTGTGGCTTTGCGTGGTTGGTTAGGGTCCCATATTTGCGATTCCAGCCGGGCATCTGCATAACTCTCCCTTCGTAGGTTTATCATCCCACTCCCCGAAGTATGTAAAATGGAAACTCGGAATGGAGCCCACCAGCGATGGAATTCGTTTACCCACTGTTTCATGACAGTCGGAGGACAAACGACAATTATAGGTTTGGTCAATTTCTTGCTATAGTGTAACCCAGCCAGGAAGGCGATGACCTGGATAGTTTTACCAAGACCCATCTCGTCACCTATTATACCCCCTACTTTTTGTTGGTAGAGTTCCCAGAGCCACTGAACACCTGTCTTTTGGTAGTCAAATAAGTAATGGTAGATATCTCCAGGGACACGATAACCACCATCGAGTTCTGTATCGGGGACCTTGGGATGAGGTAGAAACCATTCCTCTTCATCACTTTCTTCTGCAGGAGCAACAATCTCCCCAGTGACTCCCGCATCATTATCATTCTGGCTTCGTTTGCGCGCAGCTGACCTCCGATACACCCAATCCTCCAGTCGAGATTGATAGACCCTCTCATCACCATCATCCACACCCTTGAAGACCTCCACAACTGCATTGCCGCTCTTCTTTTCAACTTTCTTACGCCGTTTCTTTCTTAACTTCTCTTGAGATGAATCGGAGGCAAAGTTCGATTCACCTGATGAGCTTTCTTCTTCAGAAGGGACAAATGCACCGGAGTCAATGTATTCCGCATCGGATGCAGGAGTTGACAGTTTAGATGGCGAAGGGTGCGTTGCACTCGACCCACTTCGGACCTGGTACTCAGTAGACAGACGGGAATGGGATTCCACCTTCCGACGTTTGTGCGGGCGCGAGACAGACGTCTCAACGAAATCACTGGCACTCGCCTCATCATAATCAAAGCCGGGAAGAAGTAGATTGCGATGGGATGGTTCAGGACGCGACACAGATTCTTGAAGCGCCAATTCCTCCTCTCGCTCCTCTTCCGCATCGATCAACGCAACCTGTAATGTTACCGCTGTGGATTCACAAGTAGTTCCCGCTCCCATTTTCGAGAAGGGCGTAATTTTGCCAGTCCGTATCAGGTAATCCCTTCGAGACTCATTTGGTAGCCTCCCTGACCTGGACGTTTGGACGGCCTCCTCGAGTCCTTGGTGCCTCTCATCGATACGTTGCTGAATCTGGGCGAGGTCGACATGGAGAGACGACATCTGCGACTCCATATTCTGTATCTCTGCTTCTATCCGGACGCGAGCTGCCGTGCCTACAGGTTGGGAAAGCCTTTGGTGCAATCTCAAGATCTGCGATTCAAGCTTCCTGGAAGGTAAGAAAATCGTCAGTTGTGGTTCCCTCAGTTTCGGGACAGAGCAGAGCGGGTGGATTTATTTCTCATACGATTTCTCTGCTATTGTACGTTCCAGTCGTCTATGGTCTCTTTCATCAGCTTGCTCAAGAAGGAGTTTGTCGGCCTAGTTCAATATGCCCCACAGGTAAGAACGACGAATCTGATAGATAGAGAATTTGATATATGTTTGGCAACATAAATAGAGTACGCACCTGGAGGCCAATATCTCTTTCCAGGTCATCTTGACCTCGTACAGTAGCTTGTAACTCTCGCAATCGACTTGATTCCGTGTCTGCTACGGCAGCCGATTGCGAAGTAGCAGGGATGTGCTCTTCTAATGCATCCTTCTGTACATCATTCTGACCAGTTGACTCCTCTGGTGTGGCCTGATCCACTTCCGAAGTCTCTGCATCCTGATTTCCATCCATTCTTATGATATCCGTCCACCTCCTCCAAATGTGAGAGGATAGGCTATTAGTTCAGGGGCTTAGCCCGAGAAGGCATCTGTGCAATTCTTGGCGAAGAATCAGATGTGAAACGGGGGTTGACTTCTCAGCCATAGAGACCAGCTAGTTGAGCGGGGTCACCAATAGGGTATATTACCAAGGAAATAACACGTGCTATGAATACTTCGAAGGAGAAAGTGACGATATATCAAAACACTGTCCTGGATAATCGTCCAGCCCGTTGCCCGGAGAGGATACTAGGCATCCAACACGCAGTTGACATCTCAATGGTGAGGATAAGAGTGAGAGGTACACCCATATATCAACCACTTATATGACTCGGTTACTACTAACAAGTAGCTACCTTGAAATACTGCCCTGACTGCATTGTCTATGTCTTGGAGCGCATTTGTCGTCGTCCCCTTTTTTCTGTTTCTCGTATTGAAGAAAGGATGACTCGATCCAGGAGAGCCGCAACCTTCACGGAGATTTTGATGCCAAGATATGCCAAGACAATGAGTAATACGGATCGGATCATACGGCTAATAGTTGATCCAGGTCCGAACTATTTCCCCATCTTCAGACAAACCTTGGAAGATACAGATGTCAGTCGATGACACAATGAGTATGCCTTGAGGTGATCACCTGAAGCCAAAGAACAACATCATTCAGGTAGGCTTAAAGACAAAAGCTCACTTTTACTTACATACCTATAACCATTTGATCAGCATCACGCGATGAGACACAGGCTTTTTGTTCACACGTCCCGAGCCCATCTCATTAGAAATCTTAAGCTCCAAACAGCAACAATCTATGGATAGCGTTTTTAAAGTTCCACCCGGGAAATTTATAATAGTCTGATAGGAAAACTGGACTTCTAGAAACTGGAGGATGAGATTGGCGTGCAAGCTGTATGGTGGAAGCCGACTGCAAAAACGCCAATCCTACACCGGCCTCGGAAATTCTCTAGTAAGGGAGGGAGACTCAGCTGCTAACTAGTCGAAGAGAGGAGCGCCATGGTCTATGGGGCGCCATTGCATGCTCCATTCCCGAGCGGAAAAGTCCCAGGCGGTCTGCAACAATGATAGATAGTTAGATTGTGCACAGCTTATTAATTCTCAAGTCTTTTGACCTAGATTCCGTGGATGGAATCTGCTAGGTAACCCTTCCCCCTCCGAAAGGAAGAAATATATTCACGCACAAGTAAGTTGACGAATAGATTTATACCTGGGATTTGCTCCCGGGGTATTCCGTTTTGTATCTGGTTTAATTGAGCCTCTTTTCGATGGAGGAGTGGAGGATAGTTATACTGTCATAGATTCTCTGTCAGTCGACCTACTCTGTTATGAGGTGGCCAACCCTCCCTAGGAACTGGCTTGGGCGGCGGGAGGTAAATGGATCTTTTGTAGATAACTATCCAGCAATATCAAATTTGGGAACTCTATGTCTTGAGGCAAGCTTTGAATCATAGCAGTGTAACTAATACAACAAGTGGTTGTAATAAATACTCAATGATGTCCGCATGCAGTCAGTGTGTAAGCAGCAAACCTGGAATCCTCTTTGAGGGTCACTGATTAGGCCATCCAGAAGTAAATCAAAGAGATAACTAGTAAAGGAAATAAAAGAGGATTGTCCATAATGGCTATATCTGCTTATCCTACAACTTCATTGCATATTTATTTCTACCATTCTCCGTATGTTGAGTTTTTCCCATACTTTTCTAGGGATATTGTCCCTATTGGTGATAAGGTTGATTAATGATTCTCTTCTCTCTGGCTTGGCTCATCCACTTCTCCCTTCAACCACCAACCACCGACTTCCACTTCCACTTCCACTTCCGCCCTCTTCTCACCTCTCCTCGTCAACCTCATCCCTTTTGACCCCCGGCCTATCAGCTTCTGTCGCCCATACCTGCGCCTCTGATTGACCGTGTCTCTCAAACTTGTTGATCGAGTTGCTGAGTTGCAGTCTTGTGTTCCCGTTTCTCGGTCCCCCCCTCCCTTCCCCCTCTCCCCATACCCATAGCTGCCACGACCCAGACGCCCACCCTATATACCTACCCAGACCTCAACGACCTGCTACCACCCAATACCGATTCTTTCGTCGAGATATCCACTAATATTCTCGCCTCCTTGATTCAGCAAGAACTGAATCCTCTTCGATTGCTAGAACAGTGAAACTTTTGCATGGATATTGGGTGGTGTCCAACAACGGCCAATCGCGACTCCAATATCAATTCAGCCCAACGCCCAACCCAACCTCTATCTCAAGAATGAGCCGTTGCGCCGTATCGTCGACTTAGCATCGGCTCCCCTGCTGTTGCGTCAAATCCCCCTCTATCCTTCCCCTGCCACGAGTTTTATGTGTTCTGGCGGTTCGTGCTTCGTTATACCCATTCCTATCACGGCGAATCATCCGTTTATTTCCCTTGTGTGCGCTGAACTGGCCTTGACTTTCTTACTGATGCCGGAACAGTTAACCTCAGGTTTACACGGCCAATCCCAGGAACAATCCACTTCGATTCCACGTTTGTATATCACCTTTGGGACTGTGTGGATTTAAGAATCTGCCCCTGATCGTACTCTAGACTTCTCGAGTAATTTATTCATTATGGACCCGCAGTGGCAGGCCTATGCTGATGCCACTTCTGGCCGTCCAGGCCAATTTAACAATGGCCTTGGAGGAGGTCACGCCCATCAGCTGACGCAGAAATACCCAGCTGTGAATCCTGGCAATGGAACGCAATCTCAACAGCATCAAGCCCAAGCCCCAACCGGATATACATACGAGTCATACCAAACACCAGGAACAGCACCTAAGGCACCCTCGGGTAATTTAACGACATCAAAAACCGTGTCAATGACCTCGTCTCCAGCTCCTCTCGTCACTGACGACTTCAGAGATACGGATGTTACTATGGAAGATGCCGACCCTTACAACCGTACTAAATACCCTACCAGACCGACTCATCATCATCACAGTTCTTTACAACTTCTCTCGAGTGAAGAATCCTCTGCTGCGCGCAGATATTCCCCCATGAACGTGATCACTCCCTCAGTGCCTTACAATTCTAGCCCCAATACCTCGCAAAATCCATACACCTACCATCCAGCAGGGTCGTCGAACAATCGACCGTCACCAACGAGAGCAAGCACATTTTCTTCTCCGCCCCAAAATTACCAATCTCAATGTATGTGTACTTAAATTTCCCAAATGATCACCGCGCTTTCCCATGAGAACCCATTAGTTTTCTTCTGGCTGCAGAACACGGAAGCCGTATATGTACTGACTCCATTCATAATTTCAGCTTCTGGAACTTCACGTCAGCAATCTCGTTTACCTGCGGTCCAGCCAGCGGAAATGAGTTCCGAACAATATTACCCGCAATCTGCGACTTCTCAGCTAGGTGCTGCGTTTAGCCAAGATTTGAATTTACATAGAGGACAGTCCCAACAACACATGTCGCAACAGCAACAACAGCAGCACAAAAGGGGTCCAGTACCGAGGTTTGTGAAGATTAAGTCTACACAGGAATTAAAACCAAGGATAAATGCTCAACCAGCGTTCCGGCGCGCCAATCCTGAGGGAGGATTCATCAGTGTACGTCTGCTTTCTTCGATAGTCAAAAAGAAATATTCCACCTCTGAAAGAACGTTCTCATTATTGACTCACACTTTTGTCGTTTGGTTAGCCTTTACAAGCTCTAACGACACATTTACCCTCGAGCTATCGAATATGTAACCCGTCATTTAAATACGAATCTTCGAGGAATCCCCGTCGGGTCTTAACCAAACCCAGTAAAGGCGTCAAAAATGATGGTTATGATAATGATGACAGTGATTATATCCTATATGTCAATGATATTCTTGGGAGTGAGGAAGCCAACCATAAGTGAGCTCATCCCTTGTCCATATCGCTTCTTTCAATATGTTTCTTACTATTCGGAACACGCGCTGACATTCTTCAAGGAATCGATATCTTATTTTGGATGTTCTAGGCCAGGGGACATTTGGTCAAGTTGTGAAATGCCAAAATCTCAAGACGCAAGAGGTTGTGGCGGTCAAAGTTGTGAAAAACAGAACAGCATACTTCAACCAGAGCATGATGGAAGTGTCGGTTTTGGATCTAGTATGTCTAATATTACCCTATACACCATACTTAAAACCATTACTGACATCACATCCAGATCAATAGCAAACTTGATAAGAACGATGACCACCATCTTCTCCGCCTAAGGGATACCTTTATCCATCGACAACATCTCTGCTTAGTGTTCGAGCTGCTCAGCGTGAATTTGTATGAGCTTATCAAACAGAATCAATTCCGTGGTCTTAGCACGACCCTTGTGCGGGTATTTACACAGCAATTACTCAATGGCCTCTCACTCCTGAACAAAGCTCGACTAATACACTGCGATCTAAAACCCGAAAATATATTGTTGAAAAAGTATGTAATACTAGCGACACAACTACTCAAAGCGACCTTGAAAATAGAGTTACTGGAACTGACTCTTTCACACTCTTTAGTCTCGAAAGTCCGATAATTAAAATTATCGACTTCGGATCAGCATGCGATGAGAGACAAACAGTGTACACATACATTCAATCGAGATTTTATCGCTCGCCCGAGGTGCTTCTAGGACTACCGTAAGTATCCATTTTGGGTAAAGGACAAATATTGATCTCAACTAACTTCCCTAGGTATTCGTCCGCTATTGATATGTGGTCATTAGGTTGTATCGTCGTTGAGCTTTTCCTGGGCCTTCCATTGTTCCCCGGGTCTTCTGAGTACAACCAAGTATCTCGGATCACAGAAATGCTAGGAATGCCTCCGAATTGGATGCTTGAGATGGGAAAGCAAGCCGGGGAGTTTTTTGAAAAAACGCAGGACGAATTTGGTCGTCGAAGTTATAGACTGAAAAGCATGGAGCAGTATTCCCGCGAACACAACACGAAAGAGCAACCAAGCAAAAAGTATTTCCAGGCAACGACATTGCCGGAAATTATCCGAAGCTACTCAATGCCGAGGAAAAATATGAAGCAGGCGGAGATTGATAGAGGTAAGCCCACGGCGATCATTCATTCAATCATGTTCTCGGTTAATGATTATATTGGCTTACATGGTATAGAAATGAATAACCGCGTCGCATTTATCGATTTCGTTCGCGGACTTTTGAACATAAACCCCCTTGAGAGATGGTCACCTCAACAAGCAAAACTTCACCCCTTCATAACGCAACAAAAGTACACACAACCTTTCGTACCTCCAATGAACCTTAAGTCCTCAGCATTGAACAAGACAGTTGCCCCTGGTGTACAACAACAACAACAAGCAGAAGCTGCCAGCAAGCAGCGTGCCGCACAGGCCCAAGCTCAAGCCCAGTCTGCCGCGCAAGCACAATCCTACGCTCTCCAGATGAACAACCATTTCCAGCAACCTACACACGGCCAGCCAGCCACAGTATACAATAGCATGTACACTCCACATCAACAAGGCGCACCCCCACCCTATCCCTCCCAGCCCAGTGCATATAGCCATCAAATGCCAATAATGCAACAAGCTAGCCACATCCCACAGCAACAATTTAACGCCTCACAAAGCCTTTACGCGCAAGCTACCACCCGAGCTGGGCGCCAACGGGCCTCGACCATGGACCAGCAACAAGGTGGTATACCCCCGTCAATCCAAAGAGTCGCAAGCCATCTTGATCCCAACGCCCCGATCCGATTACAGCCTAGTCCAGCCTACTACCCGCCACCCGCTGACGGGTATGTTGGCGATTCTTCTGCCGCTGCCGCGGTGGCAGGACGGCGGAGGGGAAGTCGTACTACTGCCAGTGGGGCCCATGGAAGGAGTAATAGAGATTTCATCCGGACACTTGAGGATGGGGCGATGGGGGATGGGTTTATGGGGCAAAATCAGTGGCATTGAGCCAGATGCTGGATGTTGGAGAGCACAAATGCTTATATATATAAATAGGATATGTTATGTTGCTTTACGATGGTTGGCTGAGATTTTGTATTTTTCTTTTCTTTTTATACATTTCTTTCCCCATTTCTTGGCTTCCCGAGACAAGGCCATGCAAACAGATAGAGGGGTAAGTTTATCTCACAGTGGCGATCGCTCCTGGTTTGAGAGCCATTATTATCGTCTTCATTCCCGCGCCGTTTGGAGAGGTTTGGCGTCTTGGAAATCCTTCTTTACCACTCTTTGTCTCTCTTGGAAGAACACGATTCCCCGTGTTCAGGGAAGAGGTTGGATAGGAACTTGTATGGCAGGACTGGGAAGGGAAGCCTTTGGGTTTTTTGAAAACGAAAACAAAATGGCTCTTTATATCTTCTCTTTCCTTTCCTTTCTCTTCCATTTCTTCTTCTTTTCTCTTCTTTTTTTCTTTATCAGGGGAGTCTTCAAGGGGGCCGCGTATCTTCATCCGTATGTGGTCGATGTGACAGGACGATTAAAAGCTCTCGATTTTTCCCTCCCCTGAATTTGTGAATATTTTGGACAGACAAAACATTCCCCCATTTCTGGTGAGCTTATTTCCACCCACCCTTTTCACTTGTCTTGTTCTACCTACCATTTTCCATTTTGTTGTTGCTATGTTGTGACATGGAACTTTATCCTCGCCTTTCTTGTTCCCTTACTCCCTTTCACTTTCTTCTTTTTGCTGTTTCCCTTAGGCATAGCGTTGGCGTGTAGGATTTTTTCCTTGTTCAAGGATATATATATGTATGTGCATTTTCTTGGGCTCGTTTCGTCTCTTTGACTTTGTAACTTCTTTTCTTCTTGTCTGGCTCCTGGTTACTTCTTTGTTTCTCTATATCAAATCTATATACCTTTTTAATCCGGCATTTTATTTCAGAATATGTGATATTACCTACTTCCTTATGTTTTAAGTTCTGTCAACATTGGAATTAACTTGGTTTAGTTATAATTCTCTTAGTTCCTTCCTAGGAGAAAGCCAACTGTAGAAAAGCGTTGCATATTCCTCTGGTCGGGATTATTTTCTAGAAGTAGAATTTGAGTGTTCATGATTGTGAATAGTTTGTCAACATTCTAAAATAACATTTAACGTGATCTCAAGTTGATTGGCTCGTAAGTTGAGGCTCTTTCCTGTATGGTGCTGTTATTCCTAATAAGGTTTAGTTGATCTCGCTTAACATTATCGTGGGCTTGTCTCTCGCCTCCAAAGCAAAAAAGCAGCAATTTCTTTCAGGCCAGCCAACCAGTGACATAAGGACGTTGGAATCTATTGCGTATTCGTGACCAACGTTCTTTTAACGAATACAATACCCACCTGGTGCTCAACTGCTATCAAACCGGGAAATCGAATTGAAGAATACCACTTCAAAAAACTTCGGTTAAACACATCATGTCTCGTTTTTTTCACGGCGGAAGCGATAGCGAGAGCAGCTCTTCAGACGAGGAGGAACTCTACAACGGTCGGGAGGAAAGAGATAAAGTTTCTGATGAGGGAGAATCGTCAAGCGAGGAAGACTCCTCTGGGGAGGAGTCTAGCAGCTCCGATGAAGAAGAGGGTGGTGCCTACAAGTTCTTCAAAGATGATATTGATGCAGCTGCGGAAAGTGATGAGAGTGAAGATGAGGACCGGGTGACGATTGTAAAGAGTGCGAAGGATAAGAGACTAGAGGAGCTGGAGCAGACTATACGGTTGATAGAGAATGCGGAGAAGATTAATGATTGGGCCGTTATTTCGACGGGTATGTCACCTTGTTCCTCTTGAAAGTGAATACGACAGTGATTCGGGTTGGTTGATAATTCAAAGGGGCGAAATGGCTGACTTGATGGGTATTATTTTACAGAGTTCGATAAGCTTAACCGACAGATTGTGAAGATTACCCAATCGGGCTCCACGCCCAAAATCTACATCAAAGCCATTGCTGATCTTGAGGATTTCATGAATGAGACCATCGCGGAGCAAAAATCATCGACGAAGAAGATGAACGCAAGCAATGCCAAAGGATTTAACGCCGTTAAACAGCGTATTAAGAAGAATAACAAGGAGTATGCTACGGAGATCGATAAATATCGTGAAAACAAGAAAGATTACATGATTGAGGAGGAAGAGGAAGAGATAGTTGAGAAGAAGAAAGATAAGAGTCGCGCTATACGGCCTGAAGACCTTCTGCGCGATGAAGATGAAGGATTTGCAATTGTTGGTCGTGGCGGAAGGACACTACAGTATACACCTGAGAGCATTCTGAAGCACTTACGTATTATCGTCGAATCGAGAGGCAAGAAAAATACCGACCGCTTCGAGCAGATCAAGATTATGGAGAAGCTGCTGGAGGTTGCCACGACTCCATATCAAACCATTCGAGTTCTCTTGACTCTCATTTCCACTCGATTCGATCTCACGGTCTCTTCGACGGCGAACTATATGAGCACGGAGCAATGGAATCTCGCAATTCAGGAACTCGAGACTCTTACTGCTACCCTTGAAGAGCACCCCGAATACATTGTGACTGAAGGCGCAGAGGAATGGGAAGATGATGAGAAACAGCCTCAACTTGCGCCTGGCGAAACCCTCAAAGTCCCTGGCAGTGTTGTGTCTTTCGTTGAGCGACTGGATGATGAACTGACTCGATCGCTTCAACATATTGACCCTCACACGGCAGAGTATATCGAGAGATTAAGCGATGAGCAATCGCTGTACACAAGCATTGTTCGGTCACTACTCTACGTTGAGAAACTCAATAAAGTCGAGAAGAATGAAGCCCGTCAAGACAGTGTGAACAGAGTGTTGATGAGACGCCTGGAACATGTTTACTTCAAACCTTCTCAAGTCGTCGTGATCCTTGAAGAAAACACATGGGCGGCAATCCCAACTAAGCTTGATTCTGGCATCACGCCTCGCAAGAACGGCACCTCAGATATTCCCGCACTTGTTAAGACTCTCTGCAACTACCTCTTCGAGCTTAGCGACGGTATCATTCGTGCCAGGGCCATGTTATGCCAAATCTACTTCCTTGCTCTCCATGATAACTACCACCGGGCCCGCGACCTGATGCTGATGTCTCATCTTACGGAAAACATTTCCAACTTCGACGTCAGCACCCAGATCCTCTTTAATCGAACCCTTGTGCAGGTCGGCCTCTGTGCATTCCGCGCAGGTCTTGTTTACGAAGCTCAGAACACCCTTAGCGAAGTTTGTGGCAGCGGCAGACAAAAGGAACTACTCGCCCAAGGTATTATCATGCAACGCTACTCATCCGTATCCCCAGAGCAAGAGAAACTCGAACGCCAACGCCAGCTGCCCTTTCACATGCACATCAACCTGGAACTGCTAGAATGCATCTATCTCACCTCAAGCATGTTCCTCGAAGTGCCCCTCATGGCGCAAACCTCGTCTTCCCCTGAGATGAAACGACGCATTATCTCCAAAACCTTCCGACGAATGCTCGACTATAACGAGCGGCAAGTCTTCAACGGACCGCCGGAAAACACACGCGACGGCGTCATCATGAGTGCCAAAGCCCTGGCAGCAGGTGATTGGAAAAAGGCCTCCACAACCCTTAACTCCATCAAGATCTGGGACCTGATGGCCCAACCAGACAAGATCAAGGCAATGCTCGGCGAGCAGATCCAAGAAGAGGGCCTGCGCACCTATCTCTTTACTTACGCCCCCTTCTACGACACCCTCTCCATCTCCACTCTCTCCGACATGTTTGAGCTATCCTCCAAGAAAATCGCGGCAATCGTTAGCCGCATGATCTCGCACGAAGAACTGGCTGCCGCCCTCGACCAAGTCAACGACGCTATCATCTTCCGAAAGGGGGTGGAGCTCTCCAGGCTACAAAGCCAGATTGTCACACTGGCAGACAAGTCCATGTCGCTTCTCGAAGCGAACGAGAAGACTCTCGAGCAGCGGACGCAGGGCATGGCCAATGCGTTCCAGCGTGATCCGGGCCATGGTGGTCGTGGTGGACGAGGTGGTGGGCGTGGCGGAAGAGGAGGTGGTCGTGGTGGTGGAAGCGGATTGCCGCGGAGACCTGGTGGGCAACAGTTTGGCGGTGGGGCACTGGGAGGCGCGATCAAGGCATAAAGGGGTTTTTTTTCTCTCTCTTTTTTTTTTTCATTTGATTCGGTTTTCCTTTCTTCCTGTTACACAAATATGAAATTTTTCCATTAATATTTTTCTTTTTTTAACCTCCCTGCTGCTGGACTCATCCATCCCCCTTGTCTTTGTTTTTCCAAATGAACTTTGTGATCAATTTAGCTAGGCGAGGCGTGTTATCATAAATTGTTTACTGGAGAATTCTCTCCTACTACCTCCATACTTCACTAGGTTGTAAAGTCCCATTACGGCCGCAGTTGATGACAGACAAATGGGTCTATAGTTATAGTCCTTTTGGATTCGATTGCACAACCGGGAGGAACTTAGTGGATACAAAGGAAAATACAGGACTGTTTCTTTAGAAAATGAGGTATTCTAAACATCCTAAAACACCTGATCAGCCATTCATTGGCCCCTGCTGGAATCTTCAATATCTCCACCCATCTGGTAGCACCCTGTGCTGTGGCTGTGCGGGATGCGGATCCTTCCCAATATGCCTCGTGTGTGACACGCCCAAGGTATTCCATAGTCTTCCACCTTAAACATCAATCATTTCCCTGTTAATGGAGTTCTCGCAGGTATAGATGTTTGCGAACAAATTGACTCCTACTTCCTATCCGACCTGAACCGGTGTGGTCCTTCGTCAATCACTGTAAGTCTTCCATATTGAGGTCCGTTTGAGCTCAATAACTAAAGCCATTTGCTTGTAATGGTTGGCTTTTATGAGATGACAATAATTTAAAAATCGTACCACTTAATTCAACCACCGTCATTGAGTAAGTTCTGGGGTGACCAATATTCCGTCTCTGCACACTGGGAGTCAACCCATACCAAACCACCTGCCAGCAGGTCATCGATGACAGTCTGTGCTCTCGCCTTTTCCCAGTTCAAATTAGCTTGCAACATTGAAAGAGTTACGAAGCCCATGATTTGAATCACTTCAAGTACAGTGGCCTGGTCTGTGTTGAGTTCTTTTGGGATGGAGCGAATGAACTGTCTGCTGCCGACTTTGATGACTGTGAAGCCGGACCCGAGGGGTTCGAGGGACTTGACTGCACGGAGGATGTCATCTCTGTGTAGTTTTGCATTTGAGTCAGTATGACGGATATTCTGTTTGGTAGCAGATATATACTCCTGTCCCTGATGGGTACTGTTCTTCGAAGAGGAAAAGATAATAACTTACTCCGAAACCTCTAGACCCCCACCAATCGCCTTACCCCTGCCCACTCTAGCCCTGCATTCATCAACTCCAATAAGGCCACCATTCTCCCCCCTCGTCTCCCGACAAAGTTCCACAACGCGCACAGCAACCTCAAAATAGAAATCATTCACATCTCCTCCCAGTATCTGAGTCCAGAAACTACCCCCATCACCTAAAGCAGAGAGACTAAGACCCTTCTTTCCTTTGCCTTTTACATTGCCGGCAGCCAACGGGTCAACCCCGACGGCGTGGCACATGCGTGCAAACTCGGCACGGAACGTTCGATTGGATTTAATTGTCGAGGCATGTTCGAGGGCGAAGGCATGGAGGAGGGACTGAAAAACGGAGAGTTGGGTTTGTAAGGAGGTAAGATGGGTGGTACGGAGGTTGGCACCGTGAGTGGCATATGACTGTGCCGACTGGTTGCGGTTTACAAAGGCTCCCAGGCCGACACCGCGACGGGAAGACATTCTTCTTGTATATGACGCAGTCTTCTGCCATATAACAACCTAGGCAGTTGGCGTTGAAAGAAGACAAAAGTTGACGATGTTGAGAGTCAACGCGGTGATAGTTAACGAAGTTTTAAAACGATTTTGTTGCGGCTCGGTGTAGCTGGCCATTGCCCCAGGCGTCCGCCCCGCGCGTGATTCCGCGTATATAGATTAGCTAGCTAGCTTTTGTTAGACTAACCAGGCCAAAAAAAAGGCTCAATCGCCAGTGGTCTTAGACACTCGTGTACCGTACTGCGGATGAGTACAACAGTTCTGTTGGGCACGGGTGATAGTTAACTAGTCTAGCCCTTGTTGGGCAGTTGGGCGCTGGTTGCCCGGGCAGCCACCCCACCGCACGTGATGAACCCTATATAATTAGCTAGCTTCGACCGCAAAATAACAAGATCCAAACCATCCCACAGCCCCTTTCATCTGGGTCACCTGATCCCCTAACGTAATGCAAGACATCCGGCGGATTTGGAGGATGACATAATAGCCCTAATCTCCCCAATCCGAAGATAACGTGACTTTGAAACTAGCCTGACCCGATGTGGACTAGCTCTGATTCTCCATCCACACGAACCTGCATTTTTCTCGTCAACTGCATGTTTTGGAATTTCGACAGACATCATCGGCGGAACGACAATCACATTCGACAACCGACGACAAACGTCCACCCTTCGATATGGCCACGTATGCTTCCCCTTTTATTTCCCTTCTGCTAATGTTCGCGTGTGTGTACAGGCTCAGTTATAGTTCGTCCTTCTCGCTGTAGATGCTGTTTCTTCAATTTGCCTGGCATTTGGTTGTTCAGCACCAGGTCGATCAATCCTGACACTCTGCTTTTCCTTTTCTATTTAATTGACCGGGTGATACTGGGATATTCAGGAGATAAGAATAGGAAATGTGTTGGGGTATTGAGGTTGAAGGGTCTGCCCTTCTCCTTGAAAACCATTGCTAGCCGGAACCTCTGAGAAGTAGCTCCATCTTGTTGGATGGGCTGTTTCGCGGTAAAGTTGGCTTAGCGTTGTGTTCCTGAGCCATTGGCTTAGGGTGTTGTCGGATGAGAGATATCAGACTCGGGGCTATTTGCAAAAGTGCAATATTTCCACACTTAAAACATGTGGGTTATCGCATGACTAGCGTCACATAGCACATAAAACCCGCAGCTCTTCCTTCACCGATTAAATACATTCCGTCGAGTTCTACACTACCCATATCAATCACTTCAGTCAGAGAATGTGGCGCTATATGCTGCAGTTCTTACACTCGACGATGTTCATTCAGTTACTTTCGTCGTTGGACACACTATACTGACCTTCGAACTATTATTTTCGAAACTGCAGCTCCGTACCAACCCAGGACCAGGTCCTCGTGCCTGAGACGCTCCTGAAGAAGCGCAAGAGCCAGGAGCAGGCCAGAGCCGCGGCAAACGCTGAGCTCCTCAAGCGCAAGAAGGTGTGTTGAAACCATTTTTTCTTTAATGATAAAATCATTACTCCTTTCTGTCTTTTTTTTGTTGGAGGGAAAGAGGACTATTGTGATGATAATACCATACTTCGCGGCTAGACCTACGGGTCGATGTTGTCGCTTTGTTAACCATCTTTCGGGGCTGAAACCATCTCTTCAGCTGCAAAATTTTGATCAAGTTACGAATGCAAATTTCTTGTGCTAACTTTTGATTTCTGTAATAGGCCAACAAGGAGAAGCGTGCTGTCATCTTCAAGCGTGCCGAGTCCTATGTCAAGGAGTATCGTGATGCAGAGCGCGAGAAGATCCGCCTTGCCCGTCTGGCCAAGCAGCAGGGCAACTTCGAAGTCCCAGCGGAGCCCAAGCTCGTCTTCGTTATCCGTATCAAGGGGTTGGTTTATTCACATTTCCAATGATTTGCCATCAACCAATATCTAACATGCTCTACAGTATCAACAAGATTGCTCCCAAGCCCCGCAAGATCCTGCAGCTTCTCCGTCTCCTCCAGATCAACAACGGTGTCTTCATCCGTCTCACCAAGGCCACCCAGGAGATGCTTACTATCGTCAATCCCTACATTACCTATGGTTACCCCAACCTGAAGACCGTCCGCGAACTCATCTACAAGCGCGGTTATGGTAAGGTCAACAAGCAGCGTGTTGCCCTCAGCGACAACCAGATCATCGAGGAGAACCTCGGAAAGTTCGGCATTGTATGTATGGAGGATCTGATCCACGAGATCTACACCGTTGGCCCCAACTTCAAGCAGGCCTCGAACTTCCTGTGGCCCTTCAAGCTCTCCAACCCCACTGGTGGTTTCAGAACCCGCAAATTCAAACACTTCGTCGAGGGTGGTGACCTTGGTAACCGTGAGGAGAACATCAATGCTCTTGTCAAGCAAATGAACTAAAAAAGAGAAATGAAAATGTTATTCTGATAAAGAACAAAATGTGTCTTGTCTGTAATGGGGTTACTTCTGCAATTAGCGGGCTACGGGATATTTGTATCTAACGGGTGTTTTTTCTTTCTCAAACACAAACAAAACATTAGAAATCCAAATATTTCAACAACCCGATTCCATATTGTTGCAGTATTTTCGTACGGTTCGATATTCCGTTCAGAGGAATTGCGTAACTTTTATTTCCAATTTGTTCGTAGCCGTCCGTGGTAGTTTTCGATGGTGGGTGGCATGAAAGGGAAATCTTTTGCTGTGTGGAAGCATTTCAATATTTTCCGAAACCAATTAGTAATCTAGCGTGTTAATCCGCCCGCGTCGTAGTTGTAATAAGTCGCGTACCGAGGCGTGTCATATAATGTCAAACCTCAGCTTCAACTTCAACTTTCCACAGCAATATGCTGAGATGATACCACCAGCATAGTCATACATTGTTTCTTTCTTGGTTTTAGCATTTCCCAGTAATATTACAGCCATATATATTTTCCAATGGCTGCAGCTCGTGCCAAGCTCGCGGAATTGCGCGCTCTGAGAGCCTCCGGAAAGAAACGACTTACCACGTACGAAATTGAAGACGACGGAGACATTTACGATGAAGTTGATGAGGAAGGATACAAGAAACTTGTGCGAAAACGGCTGGATCAAGATGATTTCGTTATTGACGATGCTGGCGAGGGATACGCTGATGATGGACGAGAAGAGTGGAACGACTCCAGAAGATACTACAGCGACAGTGACGGCGACGAGCTGCCGTTGAAGGGAAAGGCTGCCAAAAGGAAACGAGAGGAAGATGATCAGAGGAAGGAGAAGATTAATAATTGTATTAGTAAATACTTTAACACAGGGCCAGCGGCCAAGGCTACTTCAAAGCCAAAGGTATGTCAAGGGATCCTCTATGGCTAACAAACTGAGGTTGTTCATTTCTCTGACTGTTGAATATTTTAGCCTGTTGCTTCGGCTGAAGATGAAGCCTTCATGGCGGATCTCCTCGGTGAAGTTGATGCGAACCCTCTCCCTTCTCGTGCTCTCCCAAAGAAGGCTTTGAAATCCGATACACGGCGGAAAATTCACATCATCTCACCACCTCTTTCTCAGGAGACGGCCTCCAAAAGGACTAAGGGAAGAAAAGAACACCCATCTAGTCCTCTCGTTGTTCCCAAGGCGGAATTGGATCTGGAGAATAATCCTGCATGGCTGGATGCTGAGGAGGATGGCGACATTCTCATGGGTGACACAGCACTATCGTCACCAGTCGTAAAAGCCGTCCAGCGGAAAACCACGAGTGATGTGAAGATGGAGGAGGAGGAAGATGAAGAATTAATGATAGTTGAAGAAACAACTGCCCATCATGAAGCGAATGGTGCAAGAGTTAATATAACAGGCAAACGACCAGCGCCAAAAATTAAGGAGCCGACATATCCATCTCCTGCGTGCTCCTCTCCTTCCAGAGCCAATGATGATGGTATCGATCCTTCGACATGGAATGATGTCACGAGCAAATTAAACGTTTTGAGCAGCCCCGCGGCCTCCGACTTTAAGACATTTGGTAAACTTGCGGCTCCGGATGCGGTCGAAGAAGATGGAAGTCTCCTGTTCTTCTGGCTAGATTATGTCGAAATCAACGGCAACCTATGTCTTTTCGGCAAGGTTAAGAACAAAAAATCAGGGAGCTATGTCAGCGCTTTCGTTAAGGTCGACAATATATTGCGAAAGTTGTACTTTCTTCCTAGACAGTATCGGGTACGTCATGGCCGTGAGACAGAGGAAGAAATTGACATGGAAGACGTCTATAAAGAGGTGGCTGAGCTGATGTCAGCAGCCAAAGTCACCAAGCACAAAATCAAGGAATCCGTTCGAAAGTACGCCTTCGAACTTCCGGATATTCCCAAAGAGGCGACATATCTTAAGCTTATGTATTCCTACGACAGCTCCTCTTTGCCCGTCGATGTTAAAGGGGAAACCTTCTCTCACGTTTTTGGAACCAACACTGCGCTCTTCGAGCAGTTCGTGCTTTGGAAAAACATCATGGGTCCTTGTTGGCTAAAGCTCGAAAATGCCGACTTTACAGCAGTCAATGGCGCATCCTGGTGCAAACTAGAATGCCAGGTCTCGCAACCTAAGTTTATTACCGTTGTTCCTAACTCAGATAGCTTGGAAAGCCCACGGCTAACTCTCATGAGTTTGGCATTCCGAACGCAATTAAACGTCAAGGATAATAAGCAGGAAATCATTGTCGCAAGCGCACGTGTTTATGAGAATGTGTCACTTACAGATACAACGCCTCCCGAAAAGCTGCCTTGCAAAACATTTACAGTGATGAGGCCCACTGGTTCTTCATATCCGATTGGATTTGAAGCCGAAACTCGCAAACACCGTGGCACGTTTATGCTGGAGAAGAGCGAGCAATTTCTCCTAAGCAAGTTTATGGCCCTGTTTGAGAAGATGGATCCGGATGTCCTCATGGGTCACCAACTCCAGGAAGTCGATTTCAACATTCTCCTTAACAGACTATCTGAAAAGAAGACTCCTGGTTGGCATCGCATTGGCAGAATGAAAAGGAGTGAGTGGCCAAAAAATCTCTCTCGAGGTGCAAGTTTCTTCGCGGAAAGAAAGCTTGTAGCTGGCAGACTGCTTTGCGATATTGCCAATGACATGGGAAAGGTAATTCTGTCTGCATTACTTCTAAACAACCATTTTTCGCTGACTGTCTTAATAGTCTTTGATGGTAAAATGTCAATCCTGGAGTTTAACGGAGATGTGCCAACTATATCTGGGAGACGGGAATACCCGTCGAGATATCGACAACGAAGTGGCGTTGAAAACCTGGGCAACATCGAAAGAAGGGCTTATGAACTACATCAGCCACTGTGAAGCTGATACTTATTTTATCGCCGCACTCGTTCTGAAGCTTCAAATGCTACCTTTAACTAAAGTGCTCACCAATTTGGCCGGAAACTCATGGGCCAGAACTCTTAGCGGTACCAGAGCTGAACGGAACGAGTATATTTTGCTGCACGAATTCTACCGGAACAAGTACATTTGCCCTGACAAGTATGCCAGCAAATATCAGCAAATGTCGCAAGCCAACGAAGAAGACGAGGATGGAACGGGCAAGAAAAAGAAGGACAAATATAAGGGTGGTCTAGTGTTTGAACCTGAGAGGGGACTGTACGACAAGTATATCTTGGTTATGGACTTTAACAGCTTGTATCCCAGCATTATCCAAGAGTTCAATATCTGCTTCACAACGGTGGACCGTGCATTGGTGGTACGTATTTAGCACGATGTTAAGCAGCATCCAGATGCTAACAATGTACTTTAGGCTGAAAATGAAAACGAGGAAAAAGTCCCTGAAGTTCCTACGGAACAAGCTCCAGGAATTCTTCCACGACTCATTGCTACTCTTGTCAACCGTCGACGTGAAGTTAAGAAGCTGATGAAAGATAAACGAGCATCTCCAGAGGATCTGGCTCTTTGGGATACTAAGCAAATGGCCCTCAAACTTACAGCCAACTCTATGTACGGGTGTCTAGGTTACACACAATCCCGATTCTATGCTCGATCGCTTGCCATGCTTACGACCTCCAAAGGTCGCGAGATTCTTCGAAGCACAAAAGAGCTTGCAGAAAGTAATCAACTGCAGGTTATTTACGGCGATACTGACTCCGTGATGATTAACACCAATGCCGATAATATTGAGGAGGCTTTGAAAGTTGGAAACACCTTCAAGCGGTTGGTAAACGAACGGTATAAGTTGCTAGAGATCGACATTGACAATGTCTTCCGCCGTCTCCTCCTTCATGCGAAAAAGAAGTATGCCGCTATTAACATGACTGAGGTTGATGGAAAGTATGTTGATCAACTCGAGGTCAAAGGCTTGGACATGAAGAGACGAGAATACTGTGCCTTATCCAAAGAGGTGTCATCGAAACTTTTGAATGAGATTTTGTCTGGTGATGATCCAGATGTAGTTCTTACAAAGGTTCACGATTACTTGCGTGAGCTCACGGAAAAGATGAAGGAGTTAGCAATCCCTGTTCAAAAATATGTCATTTACACGGTATATGATGTTGCCAACTTCCCCATGGAACATAGAGTCCTAGCTAACACGATCATGTAGAAACTGTCCAAAGGTCCCGATGAGTACCCCAACAAGGAGACTATGCCCCCAGCGCAGGTGGCTTTGCGTGAACTCGCTCGAGGGAAAACCGTTCGTCCAAACGATGTTATTTCTTACATTGTAACCAGTGGAGATTCCAACACGTCATCTCTACCACCTGCCAAACGATCGTACACACTGCAAGACGTGATAAAGCCCGATTCTGGTCTTAAACCAGACGTTGAATATTACCTCCTGAAACAGATCTTCCCGCCAATTGAACGTCTTTGCGCCCCAATACCCGGCACAGATGCCGTCCGCCTTGCTGAATGTCTTGGTTTGGATGTTAGAAAATACCAAATCAACATCTCCAACACTCGAGACCAACAGAACATGGAGATATTCCCTCTAGAATCACAAATCCCAGACTCCATTCGTTTCAAGGATGCCTCACGATTAACACTTCGTTGTCGATTCTGTCACGAACGGACATTCTTCGAAGGTCTTTCCTCGTCAGCAGAGATGTGCACTGCCAACGGGCTTGTGTGTCCCAACACGGCCTGCGGAAAGCCCTTCAACATCATATCCATAGTGGCACAACTTGAGAGCCAGATACGCGCTCAAACCGCAAAGTACTATGAAGGCTGGCTAGTTTGTGATGATCCTTCGTGTGGAAACCGAACACGACAGATGAGCGTGTATGGCCGTCGCTGTCTAGGTCCTCGTGGACGCGCAGAGGGCTGTCTTGGCCGTATGGGATTTGAATATACGGAGAAGCAATTGTATAACCAACTGCTGTATTATGCTCGTCTGTGGGATGTAGATAAGGCAAAAGTTGCAGCTGACAAGGAACCCGATCCTGAAAAACGGGACAAGATCATGGTCATGGTTGAGTGGAATCGGGCGCGGTTTGGGACAGTTAAGGGAGTAGTAGATGCGTATTTGAAGAAGTGTGGGCGGCAATGGGTCGATATGGGGGTTCTTTTTGGGTTTGCATTGGGGTGATGATTTGTTGTGTTTCCATTTATTATTTTTATTTGGACTATTCTCTTTTACCTGCTGTTTCCTTGTTTTTCTCCTTTTTCAATTGTCCGTTAGATATGTCGGTATTTGTATACCTACTCATGCGATCGATTCCAGATAGTTTCCCCCTCATTTATAATGATTGGACGGGCTTTTAGGGGATAAGAAATTGGTTCGTTTATAATTCGCTCTGCTATTAAACTGGTGAAATGCTACCTATTCAAGAAATAATTGATACTAAACGAGTTCAGGTCGAACTATTATATGTAGTTAATGTACTTGTCCTTGGCGATTCAATATTTTTTCCTGCCATTTTCTTGCGGGTTGGGGAACCCTTGAAATAAAGTTCGGATATTATCTAGTTAACGTACCTTTTTAACTATCCACGAACACTAATCTTCACCCCGCTTATCTCGATGATATGGGGACGCAAGACATATTCCCATCTCAATAGACAACATGGCGCTAAAACGTGTTCTTGTAATTGCTGGTTCAGACAGTTCCGGTGGAGCGTATGTCAAACCAAACCTTCTTTCCCCCTATGTCACTTGGACGTCCGTTTTTCCTTGCATTCGTATACCTGCGTTTCAGAGTAGATAGCACACTCTGCGCATAACTAGATATGCGAAAATGGCTGACTCGGCATATAAATGTATAGAGGCCTTGAGGCCGATCAGCGAACACTTGCTGTTCATGGCTGTTATGCTCTCACAGCCACAACGGCGTTAACGGCGCAGAACACACTGGGTGTCCAAGATATCCACATCGTCCCCGTAGACTTTGTGAGGAAACAAATTGATGCAGGATTAGAGGATGTTGGGGCGGACGTAGTGAAGTTGGGTAAGTCTTTCATGATACCCTCCCTATCTAACATAGGCATTTGTTTGCGATTGCTCTATTCTTCTCTGTTTATGACCAGGGAGTGGGCTTCTTGAAATATTTTCCTCATTGATCTCCAATTCTGGACATTGATATTATTTGGCCTTGCAATTTTCCCGTTTCTTCAAATGGCGCTTTCTCGGCTATATCTTTTTACATTTTTTTTAATAAGTTTTCTACTCAAGGCATGTTGGCATCTGCGGAAACGGCTGAGATGGTGTCTGAAATTCTGCTGCATCATAAGGTCCCTGCAGTCGTCCTTGATCCAGTAATATCTGACCCCGACACCCTTTCCGGACTTTGGACATGATTGATTTTCTTACATGTTCATCTGAAGGTTATGGTTTCTACCAGTGGCTCAAAGCTACTCCCCCCTGAAGCCGCAAATATTGTTCGGACGAAACTTCTACCACTGACAACCGTCTTGACCCCAAACATTCCCGAGGCTGTTTTACTTCTTCAGGATTCAAGGGAGGAGGTCAAGAATCCAGAGAATCTCGAGGACGCCATTGAACTGACAAAACAGCTACATACCATGGGGCCCAAGTATGTTTTATTAAAAGGTGGTCATCTGCCATTAACTTCCAATTCCCAGAAGGCCGTATCGGACCAGCAATCGTCAAAAGTGGTCGATATTTTGTATGATGGTGAAGAGGTAACGTTGTTTGAGAATGATTTTGTAAAGACTAAGAACACCCATGGGACTGGCTGCTCGCTTGCTTCTGCGATTGCAGCGAATTTAGCCAAAGATTTGGATGTGGTGCGTGCTGTCCGTGCGGCATGCAGGTTTGTTGAGGCGGGTATCAAGACGAGCGTGGATATGGGTAAGGGGAGTGGGCCGATCAATCACTTCCATTCCGTGTATTCCCTACCCTTTGCACCGTATGTACAGTTACATCCAATAAATATTTCCCCCTCTCTCGTTCCTTAGTATTTTAGACTTGGGCTTGGAGTTTAAAGCCTATAAAACTAACCTTATTATGTCGGATACAGCGGTCGATATCTAGAATATGTGCTGGATCGTCCCGATGTTCAACGTGTTTGGAAAGCCTTTACGGAACACGAGTTTGTAGCTGGTCTTGGGAATGGAACACTACCGGTTAACAAGTTCAAGGGATACTTGATCCAGGATTATCATTATTTGGTATGTGTCATTCTTTTTTAAAACAATGCCGTTTGCTGTGGTTTCTGACGGTTTCGTTCCCAAGGTTCACTTCGCGCGGAGCAATGCGCTTGCAGCATCGAAACATTATGATATGGAGGGGATATCTATGGTAAGAGATAGACCATTCCTTATCCCAAACATGCCCACCAAGCTCATATAATTTGAACATCCCCCCCTTGCTGAGAAACGTCATGATTATGAACCAGTCTGCGCAAATCGTGCTTCATATTCAGCATGAAATGAACCTGCACCTAGATTATTGCAAATCTTTTGGACTATCAAAGGAAGACATCGAAAATTGCAAAGAAAGCCAAGGTAACTACTAACATACCCTTTGATATATGTCCTGGCTCTTGTTACTAAATAAGAATAAAAAATATGTGAGCAGCCTGCGTTGCCTACAGTAGATACATTCTCGATGTGGGCCAATCAGAGGACTGGCTTGCCCTGCAAGTTGCTTTTTTGCCCTGCCTGATCGGGTACAGAGACATTGCCAAACGGTTGCATTGTGATGAGTCCAGCGTCCGCACGGGGAACAAATATTGGAAGTGGATAGAAAACTATGTTGCGGACGATTATACGAAGGCTGTAGAGACGGGGTCCGGTAGGGCATCAATTTCTTTCATGTCTTTCTAGTTCCTGTCGTCCTTCTCGCTAGCCCACTTTGTTTCCCAACGTTTAGTTTTAGCTGACTCAAGTCACTAACGGCCAAACAGCACTTCTAGAGAAGCGGATAAGAAACGTGTCTCCTAGCCGGGTGGAGGAATTAATCAAGATATTCATTCGGATTACGGAGCTGGAGATTTCCTTCTGGGACATGGGGTTGAAAGGGGAGTAGTCCTGGTGGCAAGTGTTCGAACGATAGGAAAAATGATACGTGAAGTGGGGAGGCCAGCAACAACTGGACCCTTAGGTAGACATTCCGGTCCTTTTGCGAATCGATATCTTAATTCCCCTGGCAGCAACTTGGGCTGTTGTTAATCTCTCCCTGTTTCCTTTTCATTCACCATCCAGTGACGTTAACCTCGGCAACTTCTCTGTCTGCCAAACCACACCTTTCCCAACTAGGACTAGCGGTTGCCAAAGACAGACCTTGGACCTTGGTACCTCAGCGCTAAACTGCTTTTAGACTATGCGCCACTCGCTTCCTGATTTGGTTTTTTCTGCCGCCGACTTTTTTTTTGCGTCGATTTTCTTCTCGAACGACTTCAACCTCCGTCTTCTTTCATCTCTTCTCCCATCCTCCATATATTCTCTCTTTTACCCTCCCATCACTGATTTCTCTTGTGGTTTTATCCACTAGCCGTCTCTTGCGAATAAGCTCTTTACGTATTTGAACGAGATAAACAAAAAATTTTAAAATAAAAAAACAAGCCACAATACCTGTTTTTGCGCTCTCTTTCACACATCACATCTGTCTGTCCATCAACTAGTTGTTAGTAACGTTTTTGATCTATAATCATCATCATGTCTTACGGTGGAGGTCACGGTTCTTCGCGAGACCACTATGGTGGTGGTAGCGGTCATTCTAGGTAAGTACATCCAGTATTCTTGTTCTCTTGCAAGTTTTGGAATCCCTTGCTCGGATTCGGATCGATACGGGCTTGTTATTCGCGAAGCCTTGCCGCTGAATGCGATTCGTCATTTTGGTGCTATTTATTTTGGCAAACATATTACAGCAACTGACTCGAAATGAAGCTACAGGGGCGGCGGCTACGGAGGCAGCAACGGCTACTCCCAAGGCCACTCCAGCGGCGGTTATGGCTCATATTCAGGAGGTGGCGGTGGTTACAGTGGTGGCTACAGCGGCGGTTATAGCGGTGGTGCCAGCGGTGGTGACAGAATGTCCAATCTTGGTGCCGGCTTGAAAACGCAAAACTGGGGTATGTTCTCAACAGTCTTGACAATGTTATTATCTATCCATTTTGTCAGTGGATGCTAACGTGAGGTATCTCAGACCTGTCATCTTTGCCTAAATTCGAAAAGTCGTTCTACAAGGAACACCCTGATGTCACTGCGCGATCAAGTCAACAGGTTGACTCGTTCCGCAGACAGCATGAAATAACTGTACAAGGCAAAAACGTTCCTCGCCCTGTTGAAACCTTCGATGAAGCCGGCTTCCCACAATATGTCATGACGGAGGTCAAAGCTCAAGGATTTGCAAGACCCACGGCCATTCAGTCTCAAGGTTGGCCCATGGCCCTCTCTGGTCGTGATGTTGTGGGTATTGCAGAAACTGGGTCTGGAAAGACTCTGACATATTGTTTGCCTGCTATCGTTCATATTAACGCTCAGCCTCTTCTTGCTCCGGGAGACGGTCCAATCGTCCTTGTTCTCGCCCCTACTCGTGAGTTGGCAGTTCAGATCCAAACTGAAATTACTAAGTTCGGGAAATCTTCTCGTATTCGCAACACCTGCGTATACGGTGGCGTCCCCAAGGGACCTCAAATTCGAGACCTGACACGTGGTGTTGAAGTCTGTATCGCGACCCCTGGCCGCTTGATCGACATGTTGGAGGCCGGAAGGACTAACCTGCGACGTGTTACTTACCTCGTACTTGATGAAGCAGATCGCATGCTTGACATGGGTTTCGAACCTCAGATCCGCAAGATCGTTTCACAAATTCGTCCTGACAGACAGACTTGCATGTGGTCCGCTACGTGGCCCAAAGATGTCCGACAACTTGCCCAAGATTTCCTTCACGACTATATTCAGGTCAATATTGGCTCTATGGATTTGTCTGCTAACCACAGAATTACCCAAATCGTCGAAATTGTCTCCGAGTTCGAGAAACGTGAACGTATGGCCAAACATTTAGAGCGCATTATGGATGACAAGAACGCCAAAATTCTCATTTTCACTGGAACAAAACGTGTTGCAGATGATATCACTCGATTCCTGCGACAGGATGGATGGCCAGCTCTGTGTAAGTTTTCGGTTTTTACTGGTATCCGTCCCCTTTTATGTGATTATGCTAACAATCTCCATAGCGATCCATGGCGACAAACAACAAAATGAACGTGATTGGGTCTTGAACGAGTTCAAGACTGGAAAAAGCCCCATCATGGTTGCCACCGATGTAGCTTCCCGTGGTATTGGTATGATGAATCTGCGACCTTGCTTCCCCTCACCCTCACCCTCCCCCTCTCCCTCCCAAGTACATTGTTATTGATCCTTCACCCGTATTGATGTCGTGTGACCATGACCCAATGCTTCTGCTCTCTTAAAACATGTTGGTAAACATGGTTCGTCCCGGCTTTCCGGCTCTATCGTTGGTTCTCCTTTATAGGGAACCTTGGACTTACTTGCAGTATAGCATGCTGTTGCTTCTGATTACGTCTCTCTACTCTGTAGCTCATTCAAGTAGAGAGGCAGAGTTCTTCTCTTTTTGAACTTATTCAAGCTGCATTTCCAAGGTTATTTCAGGACCACGATTCATTTCCAGCCCATGGACACTTGAAATACGAATCTTCGGCATTGATCGAAGAGAGTGATGCATCCAAGTCTCACACGACTGAGAAAAGGGTGGCCCAGGCCATTTGCTTTCTCAATTGTGCTCTGTCTTTGCTAACATTAATTGTGTGTCTGAAGATGTTCGCGATATTACTCATGTGCTGAACTATGATTATCCGAACAATTCGGAAGATTACGTTCACAGAATTGGCCGGACAGGCCGTGCCGGTGCCAAGGGAACTGCCATTACCTTGTTCACCACTGACAGTATGTTAAAAACCCCTTACTGACTGCACAATGCTAACATCTATATGCTAACTATTCATAATAGATGCTAAGCAGGCTCGTGATCTGGTTGCTATTCTCAATGAGTCAAAGCAACAGATTGATCCTCGCCTTGCCGAAATGGTCCGCTACGGCGGTGGCGGAGGTGGTGGTAACCGATGGGGTGGCCGTGGTCGCGGTCGCGGCGGAGGCTTCACCGCTTCCAATGCTGCACCCCTGGGCAACAATCGTCGCTGGTAAAAAGAGCATGTATCTCGCTCCTAATGCAGCGCACGTCAACCTTCGTAGATCCTGCCCCATTCTTCCCATCGAGACCGGGACCTTTTACCCGATATCGATACTGTTCATTTATTTTTTTTTAAAAAAAAATTCTTGAGTTTGACATGGACGGCGTTTTTCTATGCAAATGGATATAGACTCTGCGTTGAATGGTTTACAGCCATCAACAACGCTCTGTTTTCTTTCTTTTTCCCTTCTTTTAATTTGTTACCCAGCAAGATTTACCGGTTTTGATATCTTTGTATGTTCAACCTAGAGAACGAAAGGGTCACGGAGCTTCTGTGCATCGCAACTCTCAGGTAAAATGATCTTAGATTTCCCTGACGTTTTCTCTTTCTACAACTCTTCCCTTGTTTCTTTGATTACCATAGTATGTTATTGTTTTTCACTCACGCCCTTAGTCATTTCGATGAAAGGGAATAACAGTTTGACCAAAATTCGCAGAATTGCGGGATACATTCAGTATTTATGTCACCCTTGTTAATTATTTCCAATACAATCGAAAAACTTTTATATATTATGATAGGCTCGACCGTTTCAAGTGCTTCTTCATACTTGTTTGGCGGGTACAATAGGCGCAACATTACCAAGTCGTAAATTTTGCTTTTGTATGAACCAAATAAATATCCGTGTAACCAAACATCGAGAGGAAGCCCATCTATATATATACACTTCTCAGCCTCTCCGTAATCCTGAAACAGGTTTTCCCAGGGGTGGTCACTAACCACGGCGTGCATCCAAAGTTCCACAGAGAGTATCGAATCTGTGCATGATGAACTGATAAAATAGCAAATCCCAACTGGCAATTTGTGCTTGACATGGTGAAAGATCCCCGAAAACCCGAGCAACGACAGTAGCATGGGTAAACGATGAAATCGCCCTGGTATGATCGTGAAGTAGAGTATGTATGCACATACATACAGCCTTTCAGGGCCTAACCTTCCGAACCACCCCAATGGGGGAACTGCATTTCAGTCTTCAGTCTTTCAGTAGATGATCCCTGAGTAACATCGTACTGTAGGGGCATACCGAAGTTGAGCTCCCCGAACATGTTCTTCCTGTGGGCCGCAAACGACGAGCATGTATGTTTCTTCTGCAAAACATCGACCACGCATCCCTGAACCGGGACAGAGAATGGGATATATGTAGCATAGCGCGATAAAGAACATGTTGTTCCCTTTCTCTTGTATTCATCGGATCAGTTGTGCACGTAAACATACTCTTAGGGACATGAAGGAGTGTTGCTGGCGAAGACAAATCCCCATTCTTAAACATTTATTCTGCAAACATAGTTCAACAGAACCGCAATATTTCAATTCGCCTCTCTCATTGTGGCCGCATCGTGCGGAGGGCATATGTTTTGGCATGAGAGGTAGGTATACGTTGAGATATAAATACCACGTTGTTATCGAACAATCCATTCGGTAAGGATTCAAACGTTCCACGTCTCACCCTTTTTTTTTTTTTTTTTTTTCCATTGCAGGGGATCAGGAAAAGTCGGAGACACCATCTGCCTAGTTGCGACGTGTTGATGAGAACCATTGTTAAGTGCCTAAGGCTACATCTGAAGTGATGCCGATGCCGGTCTTTGCTGCCCTGCATCTTTGTGCCCTGCATCGAGTCCGTCGAACTTTTTCATAATTGGGAAAAAGCAACCGCCCAAAACCTGGGGAAAACTCCTCCAAGCTAAACTAGTAGTCAAGCTTGCATGACAATAGAAGTTTTAAAAGCAGGGGCCTTTTGATGTTGGAAGAAGAGCAGTTGTCAGTTCGTCATGATTCCCCATCCTGTCGCTGCCCGCGTCCTCAATGGTTTTTCGAAGCAATGGCACACAGGGGCGAAGAATTCTCTCTTGTTCCAGCTGGGTCGCAGGGGGATGCGAAAATTTCTGCTTTGCCACCTCAAAAACTCTCGATTTCGTCCAAGACTTGCACATGGAATCTTGTCTGATATTACATTCATGGTCGAATGCCAAACCTTTCTTCAAAAAGGCTTCGGACAGATATTTGTGTGGGATCCATGCTATTCGGCACAAATTGCTGTCCGCATCAGCATCCCTTTTTCTTATATTACGGTTACTTCAAAGAATTTATTCCCGTCCCCGCCATAAGCCTGGCTGTCTCATGGGTCAAAATGAGGTGCCAGACCTGTCCTTTTGCCTCTCGATTTTTGTACAACATCCTTGTCTGTTTACTGCAAAGTCTCCACCAGAACGAAATAGGTAAATGCATGCGAACTTTGGCTTGTGAGAAGAGGGACACCCTGGTCCCTCAGAAGAATGTACAGATATGCAAATAATCATATGAAGTGGAGCTAATTAGTTATGCTTGCTCATTACATCATTGCATCCAACGAGTTCCCGAGGAACATCGTGTTCGTTGAACCTAGGCTTTTGGCGTTTCTGCAAGTCTCATCCCATGATACCTTGAATGACAGAAAAGAAACCTCGTGTTCCAACGTCATGCGGAGGTCTCCGTACGTACCGCACACCGATCTCCGAACAGGTTAATTATGTGTGTCGAACAGTTTCTTGGTCATCCTATTCCCCCTCGAGGATCTTTCCATAGGTCTCGACAGAGCTGTCATGGGAGCACCAGCTTTTGTTGGCAGCCTGGTCAGTCCAGGGTAGTCTCGCGGGAGAAAAAGACTTTCTGATTCAGGAACGTCTGTTGTGCACATAATCTCTCCTCTCCCCTTAGACCAAAGCACAGAGGGCACAAGAGGATGTGCGTTTTAACTCCGGCGCCGGTCTCAACGCACGCTGCGGACCAGATTAGCAAAAAAAAAAAAACAAGCGAGGTTGTTTCGTAATCTTGGTATCAGGCGTTGTATCCCAGTACCGGCAGCCAGAAATGATGCTACTGCATGATGCACAGATCCCACCCTTTTAGCGTTCCCAAATTTGAAAGAAATCGAAGTGCGGAGTACGGAGGAATAATGGACAAATAATTCAACGTTCTCTGGTGCCATCGTGCCGAGAGAGCTTTTCTTCCCGCATGCTCGTGCACCAGCTTTGATCTCACCACCAGCAGCGGCTTCAACCAGTGGGACTTCAGGAGAACAGATCGATTTTGCTGCTAAAGTTTCAGGGAGTTTTAGCGGCCCGGTGGGACGAAGCATCTTTTACCAAAGGACCGGGTGTTAATCAATATTAATTTTAATTATCGAAGAGATCCGCCCTCCGCTTCCAGTTTCATCTTTGTTCAAAACTCAACCAGTTGAGTTTCAGGATTTCAAGGATTCTTTTCTGCAGATTTTTTCTGTTTTCCTGGTCGAATAAACGCCATTTTCAGCAGGCTATGGAACGGATGCATGCAATTATTGTTAATCATGCACAGCCTGCTAGGTTGAGCGCGTGTGCATATCGGAAACAGGAGATTGTTCGAAGTCGAACGACTCGTATGTAAAGTGAAAGGTGGGGGGGGGGGGGAGAGAATGCAAGGTATCGCATACCAAGTGGTTGCCATCGTGGGCAGGGGTCTGGCAATGGACTAATGTTCAACATCGACATTCTAGATCTTTCTTTGGGTTCTGAATGGTCATAAATCCATGAAATTTTCGAGAGTGGCTACGTTATTGTCAATTAACCATCGTGTGCCGCGAGAGGCGCGGGGCCGCACTCGTCGCCATGAAAATGCCTGTGTTGAATTATTACTTGGGCTCAACGACGTTCTATTTTCTCATCTCCTTGCTTTCATGAAATTCGAAGAAAACTCTTAAGATATTATCAACAGATAAAATTGCCATCCCATCATGGGAAATATTTTCTGTGGAAGCTATGGAGATATCTCCAGGAGTAATATATGCCGATTTTATATTTTGAGAGCAGTTCGCTATGCCACGACGGAAGCCATAAGCCTTCATGGAGTACATGCACATGTGCATGGATTGCGACGTGCTAAAGACTCAGACAGTCAATTGGTCCTCAATTCTGGTGGCCCAGGATTATGAATCTACATTCATATGTTGCTGAATACCGTGCCAACGGTATGGTTGTCCATCTCCCTCACCCTCATTAAACAAAAAAAAAAAAAGGCGCTTATCATCCACTACATCTACTTTTGCGATGTTCAGGGTGATCAATGGAAGTTGAAGTGGCAATAGCATCTGCGCAGGTTGTCCATTACCTATCAACGGCGCCTCAATGATTCTTTGGGGTCTTCTGAGGTTCATTTCATCGAATGAATGCAACTTCAGAAACCAATTGAAAAGAAACCGAAGATGGCGGGCGGGATTTTTGAGGACACGACCTGGGGAAGCTATTCCTCCTCTTTTTCATATATCGAAGCTACCGGTAACATCTTGGAATGGTCACGGGTAACTGGCTCTTTACCAGTTTTTAATAATGCTTTTTAGATGGATTCATGTTTATAGCCATATCCTCAAGTTACTTGTTGTAGCTAAGAAAGTACGCTAAACTTTCTGTTATCACCCGCTGTGTTTAAAAAGTCTCTAGTCCAATATGTCAGACATGCAGGGAAGAGGCACCAGAAAAAGAAAGATTCTTAGGAGGGAGGCTAAACTTGACCCAAGCGCCAACTGCAGCACTACACCAATCCATGTGTTTGGAACAAGCCGAAATCATATCGTCGAGTTTTAAGCTTAGCCGCGACGCGGCAAGTTGGCAACTGTTAGCCTGTCATGCTGTTAGAGGCGTTTTGGCAAACCATTGGGGCAGCACGGGGAATGGAACCATAGATAGTGCCCGCGAGTTAGCTGATTGTTTCTTTCATTAGTCGTGCGACCCAATGTCTTGCACATGCGGATCGAGGACAAAACATTAATTAAGGGTACTTAAATCAAGGTTGTAGTTTAATTTAACCTTTTCAAGGCGGAACCCCGGGCAAAGGCTGATGTGTGAAATGAGCTATCATCCGAATATTTCAAGATGTGTAAAATTATTTGATGATATCGCGCATCTAAGAAAATAAAATTGCGACTCCATTTTGATTGTTTTTCTTGCATTGTGGAAGTTCGGCGACTTCTCAATCGAAATCCACAACGAGAAGATCCCAATAATCAACTGCCTTAATACACACAACTGCGCAGTAAGGAGTATGTAGAACGACATATCTCGGTTCCCACCAGCAAAAACGAACCTGCTAGAGCAGGGAGTGCAAGGGTGAACGGCAGGATACCCTCGGATGGATCGGGTAAAGGGCTCCCCGCAAGAACCAGACAATTGCATGTGGTTGTTTTAATTGGGCTGTATTGATTGCATTTAAGGGATTTCCTCGAGGAGCGAGTGCATTGATTGAGTGAGATGCGAGCAGCATCTCCCCCTTGAGGTCGAAAGTTTGACTGGAAAATCAGTCACATATTTCTTTTTCTGTTCTTTTTTACTTCGGTCAACAACAATCATGAATACAAGGAAGTGCAAGCAAGGAGTGCTTCTGGGGAGAGAAATTATAGGGGATTGTTGGTCTTGTCGGTCAAAACTTCAAAGTGAAGTTAAGCATATCAAAAATATCGCGCTTTTGATGCTTGTAAAAAAGAGTAAGGCAAAGACGTCCATAAATACATCCGAGTCCCGCACTGTATCACGGACGGCAATTGGTATCGTAAAATAACGAGTGCTTCTCCGCTGTTCGTACAGCGGTCCAGAAATGTTAACATGCATGCATGAAGCTAGCTGACAGGAGGATGAAGGACATGCCATCCATGCAAAATACAGGGGATGGGAAGTTGTGTCTTGGCAGGAGGTAACGTCAAACCGGCGTTGTTCCTAGACACAGGCTACAGCATGCAGGTAAGAACCCAGAAGATGGAGAGATTGACGGGCTTACCGCCATGATCCATCAGATGATAGCATGTGCACTAACGCATGCTTTTGGGGAGACCGGGCCCTGCAAATATGCTCAAGTGGATTAGCACGAGTGCCAATAATAATTCAGCGTTTACTGACGCCAAGCAGGAAAACCTGAAAGTTGACCTTTTGTTGACCACTTTGTTGACCTCTTGTCACCTTTATCGCAAGGCAGCATCCACATCGCCGAGAAAAAGAGATGCTGGATGGAGGAGTATGGGGCCAATCAACAATATGTAGTTGTGTACTCCTGTATAGTCCAGCTTGCTAACACTTGTTTGCGTAGATTTCATGTCTCCAATTTGTCTCCATTCTCTGCTTGGCACAATCCGTCAGCTCATCACGTGAATATAAATGGACCCATTTCTGGAGCAGCGTGCGGCAGCAGGGAAAATCGAAGTGTGCGGGGGACGGGGGAAGAGACTCCGAAGACAGAGTTGAATTTCCCGCAGAGGGCGAACGCATTCACAAATTCTGCTAGGTGTCGAATAATGGTGGTGTCACGTCAGAGATTTCGATATCAGAAATCGCTGTGGCTGCTGCTGAAACACCCGTGTTGTTTTAAGCATATCGCATTATTCCATGATCGCAGAGTCCAACATCTTTGCAAGTTTGGCAGTGAACTTCACAAAATAATGTGAGGGGAGGAAGGACCTTTTACAACGTGCGGGGCCGGCGGATCAAATGGAAATGATATGAGCGCCAAGCAATTATGATAAAACGCTGATCAGTTGGAATAAATAAAGCAGCAGTGTGTATGATTGGGCGAAACTGAGGGAAATCCTGGGGGGGGGGGGTTACTCCAGGAGGATCATCTGGATGGTACCTTGAAATGGAAATATGGTGACAGAAAGGACATGAAAAAAAAAAAAAAAAAAAAAAAAAGCGAAAATACGAAGTGAGCAATGAGCAATATAATCATTCCCCGAAATCCCGAGTTGATGGGACCCAAACCTCAGCTCAACATCAGCGGGCGATACGCTATATCTCTCTGCCAATAAATGATACCGCCGGTAACTTTACTGCACAGCCTGCAGGGAGGTACTAGGGACCAACACATTTATTGAAAAATGCGCGAACGTGTAGGCTGCAGAAAGTTTCCCGCAAGGTCCCATGTATTCATCCGCTTCACCCGGAGAAACAAAGACCCTGTTGGAACTAACATGTTTTGTGTGAAGGGCAAAATACAACTCTTTTCAACCGTGCAAAGTGATATTGGAAAAAGAAAACAAGGGGGAAAAGGTGCACTATCATGTGTCGGGGTCCAGGTCTTTGTTTTCCTGCTGCCTGGGCCTAGTTTCATCCGTAGGCTTCTAGCGTGTTAAATTAAAGGGGAGGCCACGCAGTTAGCGTGCCAATCGTCAGGATGGAAGATGAATTCCATGGTCAAGGATTTCCAAAGGCGCAAAATATGATGTGGTCAAGCTCTGTGCTGAAAAAAGAGGGAACTGTCGTTCTCATTCGCTGTTTTTGAGATCAAGCTAGGGAAGCTTGTTAAGCATGGTGCCCGCTGGGGAGCACCTATCGACCACATCTCGGTTCCTGACTTCGTTGATAAGGGCTGTTCCATTTTCTTCTTTTGGGTTAACCGGCGGACTGCAACTTGATCGACAACATCAGCGATGATGATGAGGAAAACAAAAAGCAAAAAATTAAAAATTAAAAATTAAAAATTAAAAAAAGGAAAAGAAATAAAAGAAGAGAAAGAAAAGAAAAGAAACAAAAGAAAAGAAAAGAAAGGAAAAGGAAAAGGGAAGGAAAAGGATGAGGGAAATGAAAATGAAAAAGAGAAAGAAAAAGAAACCAAAGGACGAGAAAAAAAGGAAAAAAATATTCAAGATGTATCAACAAGATCGAGTCCTCTTCCTTTCTGACAACTCATCCCTCAAATTCCAAATTCCAAATCCTATCAAGAAATAATTCTGGCTTTCACTTTCACACATCTTCATCATTTTTGTCGTCGTTTAATCTTTGCTAAGTATTCCTTTTATTGATTTTTTCTTTTTTTCAATGGCTTTTTACTCTGCCAAGAGCCAAAAACACATCAGGGATTTGTCCGAGACAAGCATCATGGAAGCTATCTGCAATTATTGCAGCGATTCATGCTTTGATAGTAGCAGTTCCTTCGTAGCCGCTAGAAGAACACATGGCTTCATGTCTTGCCTGTCCAAAATTTAGATTTCCTAGTGTTCATTACAAGGATTTAACGCGATTTCGGTCGGATCTCCGGAAGTCCTTGAGTCAAGAATCACGAACGCGTTTCACCTCTCCGAATCATGGCAATTCTTCGTTTGGGTGGTACCCTGAATTAATT